AGAACTATATAAACGTCCAGTCGCCGTCATTCGAAATACGAACGCCGACACACCCAACCTCACCCTCAACGTTCACAACCAAGTGGGCAGAGGGGAGCTTTACGTGGTTTCCATATGCGGCATTGTCCTTCAACTTGGTGTCCTCGTCTACTCAGGACTTACCGCCTATCATGCCAACTCTATGCTGCTCAAGGATGGAAACGCCGTCGCAGGCTACGCCTTTCCGTGTACCGCAACCGGCACGCTGCTCTTGGTAGCCGGCATATTTATCTGTGCCCACGTCGTCGAAAGTAGTACGTCGGAAACGAGATATCGCCCTTGGGACGGGATGGAAGCTCGAGTTGTCTGGCTGCAGAAACATGGAACCGTGAACGACCAGGCTTTCCTGTCCTTTGCAATATTCCCAGAGACGGCGCAACCCCTGGTTACAACTTCACACCGGGCTAGCGAGAGAACAATACTGGGGTTCTGCAAACATTTCATAATGCCCGCCCTGGTAGTCAACGAACGAGAAGCCATCACTGTCGCTGGTACAATGGTCAGCATTTGCGGCTTCGTCGTGCAGTTCATCGGTTTACGCGGCATGCATTGGTCAGCGTCCGTTGCCCAGCTTGGCGCAACTATCGTCATGACCACTCTCAGAGCAGCAGTTCGTCGCAATCTCGCAAAAAATCCGAAGGCACTACCTCTCGTTCGCGACCATGAACTGGATTGGTTGGCGATGACCCTTGGGAAGCCCGCAAACGCCCCTTGGCAGTGTCCTGTTGGAGATTACGGGAAGTGGAGCGAATATTGCAGACCTTGGGCCGAATCCCGGACGGACCGAGAGCATAGCCCTTCGGTCGACGGTGATAGTTGGGACTGGATTATTGCCGCCGTCGAAACCCCAGAGAGACGGGAGAAGCTGAAACCGCTTCGGCAGAGTCCCGGGGCGGATTCGACGCGCCACCCAGGTGGGCTCGACAGACCATCAAAGGCCCACGAAGTGATGACGATAAGGAGGGATCTTGGCGAGTTGGCCGGCTGGCCCGGGCCAGCATCCGCAGAGGCCATCGCTTTAGCTCGCGCGATCGAGGTGGCAATGGATGTCCTGATTGGTCCTAGCTCTGCGGACAAGAAGCTCGCCTGGTCTCTTCCGGCTTTCAAGTCTCCGGACGTGCCTGGGTTTCAGTCAATCGCCTTTCGGGTAGAGGCACAAGCAAATGGACGCTGGAAAATCTTCTCCGACGAGCTTGAAGCTGTGCTTTCGTTGTGGCTTTATTTCGTCCACAAACAGGAAAACAGCGTTGAAAGCAAGGAAGAAGAGCAGAATCAAATTGCCAAGGACGACGCGTGGTTGCGGACCAAGGGAACGCTAGCAAAACCTAGCCTCCGACTTCTAGGCTCACATACGACGGCTCTGTATAGAGATCTTCGGTGGTGGATGCCTGATGGTGCTGCCAGAGTCATCGAAGTTAACGAACTGGAAACTAACGACAGGATAATGGAGGTCGAGAGCCATCGAGTTGTCGGATTTGCGTCCAATGCCAGGGCTAACTCTTCGGATGTTGACATCTACCAGTACGAGCGGAAGTCCCCAGAATCCCCGCGTAGGGACGCCCACCTGGCCGTCGAATTATACAGTTCTTTGAAGACATTGTACGGCCAACACATGTTCACCGCTTTCATGTGGTCCGCGGCAAAGACGATGGGGAAGCCGATGAAAGACGGGGCAGATGTACGACCCACTGAGAAAGACGGTGTGAGTGGCGATTCGGCGTGGAAGTCGTTTACATTGTACAATGCCCAGCTTTCCAAAATGGTCCAAGACATCCAAAACACCGGGCTTGGAAGTCTGGAAGATGTCTACCTATGCGTCATTCCACCACTGAGCATGGAGAACAGACTACCACGAGCCGATGCCATCATCGAATGGGCGCGTGCAAAGGCGAAGCCGCACGAGCTGTTGGGGCGCTGGAAGGAGGCTGGGGATGCATACCTGTGGCTTTTCCGAAACGCGAAGACGTTCCCAGGGCAAGACGACATTACCACCAAGGCCACTGCCCTCTTAATGGAATATCTGAGGGCTGTCACCAATGCGATCGGGCTAAGGAAAGCCCAACTGTTTGAGGAGAATGACATCCAGGACCTAGAGGAGTTGAAGACGGACATTTTGAAGGAGCTGCAAGGGGGCAGTGTAAAAGATGTGTTAAGGGGCATTATGGGGTTGTACGACATGCAGGGCCGTTCTTGGGAATGTGAGTTGGTTGAAGACTCCAATCCTCCAAAAGGCAAAGACACGGTCTTCAAGTTCACAGAACTTCACATGGCGGCGGCTCAACACGACGGATGGTGGGATATTGAAGGAGCGATCAAGGAAAGCAGTGGTAAGGTGAACGAGAAAGATATCCTGGACTGGACACCACTCCACTACGCAGTCAGAAAGTCAACCTCCCGGGTTGTGCAAGAACTTCTAACCAACGGAGTTGAGGTCAACGCACAAGACATCCGTGGGCAAACACCAGTACATTATGCGGCTTGCCGGCAAGACGGCGCTTCGATCATACACGATCTCCTACGGAAAGGCGCGGAGATCAACATACGAGATGTCGATGGAATAGCGCCATTACACAATGCAGCGATCCATGGTAGCAGCGAGGCAATGCGATCACTGATTGAAGCAGGGGCGGACATAGACGCCGTGGATGGCTAGGATACACTCCGCTGCATTGGGCTGCATTCCGTCAACGAGGAGGCATAGACAAGCATTTGGAATATGTGAACATAAAGTTGCGCGACCACAATGGCAGAACTGCCCTGCATTTGGCGGTGATAGCAGAGGAAAATACTGGTACGGAGGGTGAAACTATTGCGACAGAGGATGTCGTCAAGGCACTCATCGAAATGAAGAGTGATAAGGACGTCAAAGACAGGTATAGTCGGACGCCGTTGCACTATGCCGCTACCAAAGGGCATGAAGTCTCGGTCAGGTACCTCATCGAGCAGGCAAACGCGGACAAGGAGGCCAAGGACAACAATGGCGGGACGCCGCTGCACTGGGCTGCTAGAAACGGGCATGAAGACATCGTCAGGTACCTCATCGAGCAGGCGAACGCGGACAAGGAGGCCAAGAACGACTATGGCGAGACGCCGCTGCACTGGGCTACTGCCGACGGGCATGAAGACATCATCAGGTACCTCATCGAGCAGGCGAACGTGGACAAGGAGGCCAAGGACAACAATGGCGAGACGCCGCTGCACTAGGCTACTAGAATCGGGCATGAAGACATCGTCAAGTGCGGGAAACATTGCGAGGTGACATCTACAGTCTTGGCATTCCTAGATTCCCCATCGACAGAGTCAGAATACCCGACCCAGATCCGCTAGCCGCAGTACGGTACTCGTGTGTTTACTGGATCGACCATCTGCGTAAATGTAACCCCAAGAACGTGAACAGGGATCTCCAGGATGGCGGATCAATCGATACCTTTCTATGCGAGAAGTATCTTCACTGGCCCGAGGCCCTTAGCCTTCTCAAGAGCACATCAGAAGGAGTAGCTTCAATGCTGGGTGCCACTGGACTGGCTGCCAAGGGCCCACGGACGGCACACTTACCTGCCCGTCGGGTTTCAAGATCATGACAAGCCGCTACGACGACGGCACTGGCCAGCTGTGTTCCATGTCGGTCGGCGCGCACGACTCATACGTGTTGTACGAGCAGGCGTACTGCTGCCCGGACAACGACGTGCCGCAGAACTGCAGCTGGACGTTCGACATCGGGACCACGTTCGATCCCCAGAAGATTTGCACGCCCACGGTGTGCCCGGCGACGATAGTGCGGTACACGACCGCGCTAGACCCGCCCAACCCGTACAAGGACATAGACAGCCTGGGCGGCGTGGACTGCTCCGCGTACCAGCCGCTGCCCGACCGAGACCCGAACTGGTCGTACTGCTGCGACCCGCCCGAGGACTACAACGGCAACTGGCCGGTCAACTCGTCGCCTCTAGGCGAGCCCGGACGATGACACAGGGGCCGACATCCTGTAGGCGTATCAGGACGACTACGCCAGCAACGACGGGCAGTCGTCGCCGGGCGGAGATGCCTACGGCGACGATCCGTACGGTTTCGTTATGCTCGACGGCCCGCCTGGCTCGGTGGAGGTTCGTTCACGTCGTCGTACACGGTGGCACACGCGCTAGAGCACGAAGCAGTGGCCTCGGCCAAGCGGTCACTGCTGACGAGCAACCGCACACGGATCGAGACGGCGTTCGAGTACGCGTCCGAGGTGCTCTATGTTTTCTGCAACTACCCAGACGACTCGCCGCGCTGCCAGAAGCTGTTTTTTGATGGCGCTGAAAACACTATTATCAAGCTGCCGGACCACGTCGGCGAGGGCCCCTTTGCCCGCGTCGTGTCGATGCGGCCGGTGCCGGCGCACTACACGCTCCCGCCCCATCACCTGCGCAAGCGGGCGGCGCAGGAGCTGAGCAGTACCGTGTGGCGTATGGAGATCGACTACGAGTTCGGCGCCATTAAGCGTAGCAGCGGGCCGGTCAACATGCGCGTCGATTTCACCAACATGCTCGACTACTGGACCGACGTGACCGACACGCTGGCCAAGGCCCGCCGCGAGCTGCAGACCGGACAGTCTCTCGCGTATCATGAGTGGCGGCACAAGGTGAGCCGGGCCAAGTCGTCGCACGACCGCATGTGCCGGCGGCAGGCCGACATCGTGTCGGGCGCCGTCACGCGGCTCGACGAGCGCGACAACGAGGTGACGTCCGAGTCGCCGCGAGCCAAGCGCTGGTTCAGCTCCTTCATCAACTGGCTCTCCAAGATCACGACGGTCGGGAAGAGCAACGCGGGCTTTCTGACTATGGCAGTGCAGAAGAGCGTCCTGCTGTACCGCGCCTTCGTCGGCTGCTCGCGCACCAACGCGCACATGAGCATCTACCTGGACGCTGAGGCCGCTATGGATGCCACCTACGCCTACTACTGCTCGGGTGCCCTAGGCGGCGTCGTGCCCACCGCCACGTACGCATACTTCGCCATGCAGCCGCACGTGTACCTGGGCCTGACCGTCAACGACGGCGCCCGCCTCGAGTACCGCAGCCCGCGCGCCAAGCTTCTCCCGACCCTGTCGTATCCAGGCCTGGCCATCAAGGGGCTCGCCGCCGTCGGGCCCACGCTCGACGTGTGGGGGCAGACCATCGGCGTCGTGCAGATCAGCGGCACTATGCAGGCCGGCGCGCGCTATACCTTCGAGCAGGCCAAAATATACTGGCCCGACGACGGCGCGGCCGCCCCTGTGCTGCAGGGCCTGGTCGGCGACACCGCCGAGCCGGTCGCGTCCGGCCTGGCGCCCGAGTTCCAGGCCGCCGTCTCGGCCTATGTCGACCTCGACATCAACGTCACACCCGAGGCCCACCTGGGCATCCAGATCGGCGGCGGCTCCGCCTTCGGCGTCACCCTGTTCGATGCCTAGGTGGTCGGCTACGTCAACAACACTCTGCGCTTCCACGCCGACGCGACCGGCACCATCTCCAGCAGCACTGGCAGCGCTGAGGTCGTCTACAACTACGGCGTATACTTGCTGTACAATATCGGCTACGGCGGCTGGGTCACCATCGTCGGATACACCTGGAACGGGCAGTCGCACAACCTGTTTTCGACCCCCAAGACCATCACGCTGTACTCCAACGGCGACGTACTTTCTACCACCTTTAAGCGCGACGTGCCGCTTCTCGCCGGCCGCTCCCTTAGCCCGGAGCTCAAGGTCGTCGGTGTGGATGGGGAGGGTCAGGAGCGCGGGATCCTCAACGGCGACGCCGATGGCAGCGGGCTCGGCGACATCGAGACCATCTTCGCCCGAGCGCGCATCATTGGCATGGACGGCGACGTTCTCTGGACCTCGGGCGATGAGATGATCAAGTATCTGTAGCTCGGCTGCAGAGCAAGAATGCCACCAAGTGGTCTGAATACGGCACGGGGGGTTCCTTCTTATTTCCACTGTCGAAACTCAATAGCGCCTGGACTATGTGGGTCTTTTGAGCCATGATGGAACTTGAACCTCATTCATTGACAACTTGGACCCACCCTTTGTCCTTGAACTTCTCCGTACTGTGTACATACCTTAATAAAAGGCTCACAAACCCTGAGGGCATTGGTCTGCGCGAGGCTGAAATACACATGAGTATCGCGTGGTCTCTAGAGGCGTGTACAATCACATATGTACACTTGTGGAATAATTTCATAGGCTATGAATCTACCTTCAATTTTTGGCGGCGCAATACCGTACGCGTAGAGCTGTACTCCGTACGGACGGATATGGAGTACGAAATTGAGGAAATTGCCAATGATCCACCGAGGATGCCAAGAATTTTCTCAAAGCCGTAAACAAAAGTCCATTGAGAACTGCTCCTCTTCAAGTCAATGTCAATGCTTCAGACGGATTCCTTCCGCGTATTGCGTTCGCGATCGAAAAGAGGGCAGGCTTATTGCATGGTCCAATATGTTTAGAACGCGTTCTTTCATCCTCCGGACGCGTTACACAAGGTAGGCCGGTCCACATTCTCTCACGCTGACAATTCACTTAGAACACAACAGAGTGACGGTTCGATTGTCCAATACGAAGTGTAGGTAGCGACAGGAAGTTGCACAACTGCCTTGGAATGCACCCAAGTCAACGCCTGGGTCCAAACCGATCTTCAGTCAATGTAGAATTGTCCTGCATTTCCATTCAGCCGAAAATCCAACCCCTTCAGCGCCATGGTGTCGACAAACTTTGGATCAAAGTTTTCGAGGCAGTAGGTAATGATCATGTGGAGGCCTTAAACAGGAGGTTAGCTTGGCACTGTTGGACCCCAGGAAAGCCTCTTCTTGCAGGAGACACTTACCAGCGCCTGCTCCGCCCCCAGTCCACAACTCTCCCTTTCCCTCCCCATCATATGGCTTGTCTTCAACAACCCAACGCTGATCAAGCCAGTTGACGCCGGGATACAACTTCCTAGCCCCTTCCAAGAACTCCCGGTTACAAGTGCACGTCTTTCCCTCGAGGACGCCCGAGCTGGCCAGCCAGATGCTGCCGATGCAAGTGGTCATCCACACGCGCGTTTTGGTCCACGCTTCCTTCATGAACTTATCGGCCTGTGGCGGGCGGTGGCTTAGCAACGGCCCGCCGATGATGACGATGTCCAGGTCGCGCGGGCAATCGTCGTACGTGACGGTGGGCACGACCCGCAAACCGGGTGTGACTCGGGCTGGCTCGAGAGCGGTTGCCAAGAAGAGAAACTCGATGTCCATGGCGTAGTCTTCGAACTGGGCCAACGACCCGTTCACATCGAACTGCTTCACCTCGTTCATGTACTCTTTGGAGAGATTGCCAAAGATATCCATGCCAACCACATCTGAGAACTGCACCTCTTCGAGCATCACGCCGATGCGGAGCTTCTTTGGAGATGGGCGGTTGGCCATGATGTTGATGGATCTGACTTTGGCGTATGACTCGGAGTATCAGGCCTTGTGTTCAATCGCGATGGATTATGGGCCGGTGTCCGGTGGTTTCCTCATCCACTGGGACGGGGTCGCCCCTTTATACATGGTCAATGGACAGAGCCGGCTCAATGTCTTTCGCGGTGCAGGACGAAACGGCAGAGGCCATCACCGACCACAGTTGGTCGATAACTTCCGACTGCACCTCGGGACATTCTTGTCGCCGGTACGGATCGCAGTTTCGGTAACGTCCAAGAACGGGAATCCGATGGTGCTCGATCCAGCGATTGCTCTAGAACCTGAATCCGATTGGGCTCGGTCTGCATCGCGGAAGCTCTGAGCTGGGCGGTGGTTGTAGACTCCGAGCCGCCTCGGATGTTAGAACTTCACTTGTGTTCCATGGCGCTGTCTGGGCAGCTGTGCCAGCTGAGCTGGGGATCGGTCGGGGGTTCACTGATGGTGCTGCCGAATCAAATCGGATCCAACAGGTTGATCGTCTCTTGATGACTAATTAGTTAGCTACAATTCTCAGCATCCAAACTATATTGATGAATGACTTGGAGTATTACTTAGATAGGAATATTTTCAGGGCGTTGAATGTCTTGTGGTCAGTTTATGCTTATCGAGGATGTTGTGAGTTCCACAATCATTCACCTGGCACTTGCCCCTGACAGGGGATGTACTTACGGTCGGTCTTGTATGTGATATTACCATTGGCTGGTACTGTACGTTACAACTTACAGGGACTCTGAGGGTCTGTGCGCCATTCTTGTCTGTAACTGGCAGCTGCTGCCTGTTGGGAACGTCATCAGTCCCGTCATTGATCAATTTCACGAAAGCCCAACGTCGCAAATCCCACAACGTCAGATGTCCGCCGCCTGTTAAGCAGTGTATCTCATCGGCGCTAATCCAATTCAGCTTACAGTTAGGTTGTGTTCAATGAGGGTATCCGCTGCGTAACTTGGATAAGCAGCCCGTCGCCGCGGGCAGCACCACGCGCTCCTTTGCAGCGATTCCGTCCCATCCTCGGAGTTTTTGGCTGAGCTGCGATTCGCAACCCCAATGCTCGTCGTTGCATAAGGTAGTGCCAGGTTTCCAACTCAAGTTTCTTGTGGGAATGAGCCGGAGGCTGTTGGGACAGGGTACGACGTTGAAGACTGGCCTTGGTCAAGGGCTTGACAGCAACACGTCTACTCGGATATCGCACAATACCCGCTTACCATTACCCAGGTCATACGCTTCCACCATATGCAATCTGAACCTCGAAGCCACAACCCAGGAGCCACACCTGCTACCGCGCATCACGAAGCTTGTCTAGGAAAAAGGCAAGAGGGGCAGAGAAGCCAAGAGGTTTTTGCTTCACCGAGTCTCGACCCACTAGCACGATCGACGGGGTGAGCCCTGCCACAACCCAAAGTCCCGTCACCTTGTTTTGTCGTCATTCTCCTAGATCTTCTGTGTCGGCTCCGCCATGTCCAACGATTTACCCTGGCGGCTATTGCCGGCCGATGCGCCGGGCATCCCCAAGCTCCTGGTCTCGGCCTCTTTCGCTGCTGACTCCTACAGCGTGCATGTCACCGACCTAGCCAACATCTGGGTTGAGACCATGGAAAGGAGGGCCATCATTGGGCGGGGAATGACAGAAGACACAAGCATCGATCCGAGCGACGGACCTGACCAGATTCGCAAGATGCTTGAACTCCTCCGAGCATCGTTCGATACTAGTGACCCTGAACATCATAACACGTCTCTTACCCTGGAAAAGGGTAGTGATGGCGACTCGCTCGTTCTTCGCATTACCTGCTTGCTGCCAAAACCTTTGAAGCCCTTGAAATGGCCGATGCATCTGAAGAAATGCCGGCAGTCGGCTGTTGCAACACAAGTTGTCCTCCCCTTGATACAGGCACACGAAGCTCGAGTACGACAGATCAACCATCTTATTGGACTGTTGCGCGAGAAGGATCACGTCATCGCCAGAGTGATCGACAAGCTCGAGGCGACGGGAACGGGCTTGGAACACATCTTCAATGCGCTCTCCGGCAAGCGCAAGGTTACGAGAGCTCTCGCAGAGGAGAAGATAAAGGGGCTTGCTCCATTTGCCGAGGCCGAATTTCGGAAGAATGACGCAGAATTGCGTTCAGTCACGCAATCCGCCGATGTCTCTGCGCTGCTTGAGGCTGCCTTCGGAGCCCCTGGCCTGCAGTATACATCGGAGTTGGATTTGGAAGCATCAGCCATCCTCGATGACTGGTGGACCAAATTCGACAAGAGAAAACCCGTCATTTTGTCTCACCGTTCAGAAACCAGAGAAGCAGAGATTTCAGATTCGCAGCAGGACATCAAGACCAAGAATGACGATGACGACGATGATGACTTCCAAACACAGGATACGCCGCCAGGTGTGCCGTCGGCCCGGGGACGGCGGGCCCAACTTGAAGCGGATGACGACGAAACATCAGACGGTGAAGACGTTGACGAAGCTCCAACTACCCCAGCTTCTGCGAGGAAACAAGGCGCGTTGAGCAGGGCTCCGGACTCTTCGATCGGGAAGGAGCACCGACATGCAAGGCCATCTACGCCTCCACGCGCAGGTCCAGTCCGCAACGCAGCTTCCCAAAGGGACACAGCGACAGATACCCACTCCGAAACGGCTTCCGAAGTAGACAGCGATGAGATACAGGCTTCCCCTCCTTCAGCTCGGAGGCAACCGCCCAAACGGGGAGGTCTGGGCCGTATCGGCGGCAGGCCGAGACGAGAGCCAACACCCAAAGCGTCGACGCCTTCACCCCCTCCAGGTTCAGAAGACAAGCCCAGCCCATTACCAAGGCGTCATAAACTTGGGATAATTGGCAAGAAACAGACGACTCCGCCTTCTGAGACACCATCGGCAGATCAGACAGAGGATGACCGAGGTAGAAACAAACGGGTTGTGTCCGAGACCAAGGAGCAGCCAGTGCGAGAGACTTCTCTGGAACGAGCCGACCGAAAACGGGCAGAGCTTCAGCGAGATCTAGAGAAACGCGCAGCGGCCGGGCCGGCGAAGAAGAAGCGCAAGTTCTGAGGGCGCGATCGCCCGTCCATCACTTCTTTGGCGATATCCCCGAGTGCCAACTCCGTCATCATGTTTGTGATTGAGCCTTGCAACACATCTTGATCTTGTGCAGCTGCGTGTTAGCACTACATGCCAGCACCAGCCTTGCAGGTCTTGACCCGCATGTTTCGGAGTTGAGTCCGGATTGCACCGCACCATGGTCTCTCGCGACTCAGGCCAGCTTCCTCCAACCCGGTTACTGGGCCGATAAGTCGTTGGAATATGAACGTGGGGAATATGCTACGACTGGCTGATCTGAACAACGCTGATCATTCTGATCATCACCTGCATTGTTGGCAGAAGGATCAAAGGGAGCAACTTGCCGACCCATCGAAAGCCGACTGTGGCAACACCTTCCTGTGGGCATCCCGCGCATCTCAACCAGCGATGACGTGTTGAAGAGCCCAGCAGTCAATTCAGCCTCAGCATTGCTGAGCATCAGAGCCTGTCCTACCGTTCTTCTCGGGTACATGCTGGTGACCATCAGGGTAACCGTATGTGACCGCCTTCGTCCCAGGTTGCATTTCGTCCCAGGTTGCATCAGCGTTTGTGCCTCTCGCAGCCCAAGTACCGTGCGTTTGCACACTATTAATGCCTTGCTTGTCGTGGGGTTGCAAGCACGATACTTGATTGTGAGGAAAGCCTTGAGTTGTGAAGCAAGCAACTAGGAACCAGCTCAAATGGACCGGTGTGTCTGAGAGATGATGTGTGTGTACGGTGGTGAACCGGAGGGATGCCCGGCCGAAGCTTCCCAGCTTTGGGGGCGGGATACAACATACGACAGCTTACCAGACAAGCGGTCAAGAGGTATACCAGTCACAGCAAACGGGACAGGCTTGTAGGGAAGTTGTCGCTGCTACGTCATCCACTCTCACGCACTTAGCTCCCTTGTGTCAGGGGAACATTATTGCTGGCACATGGAAGCTCGAGCTTATAGCATGGTGCTTGCTGGGTATCCATGGCTGGATGCGGTGGTGTGCTTTGGGTTCTGGATAGGCGACTAATCGAGTCACCCTCGCAAAGCCTGTTGCAATTCCATTGCCTGGCCACAGGTCGTCTCGCGGTATCAACCATCTTTTGTTGCAACACTCGGTCACCTCGCTGCCGGACGCCTGAGACATCACAACTTTCTGGTTGACCCTCACATGAACCTGTCGCCATGACACTGACGCTACCCTGCAATGTCTCATTTACGACCTCATTTTCACAGGGCACCCGCACCCATGGTACTGGCGCGGAGATAAGTCGCAGCGTTGAACACAGACCGGACCGGACCGTAACCGCTTCGTGACCGGGACCGTCCATGATCTTATCACCCGAGACAGGAGTCATGTTCTCCCCGAAGGGGTTGACATGACGGCTGCGTGTCTAGATGTCCATCATTTTGATCGGTATGATCGTATCCAGCCGAGACAAATGGAATCAACAAATCACCCCCATCTGCAAGCCCGGCACGGTTGACACCTGTTGATTACGGAGCGCAGAGCCGCCGACGCGATTTGGATTGTTCGTGTTTTCGCCGAGCTCAATTGTATCGCAGCTGGGCCTGCCGTTCCAATCAGCCTCAGCACCACCGGAGACCATGGCTGCAGCTGGAAGGCTACGGATCGGGACGCACGCATGACGCTACTGCGCCGGATTTTTGTCGCCGTCCTCCCGCGGCAGCCGTAACGCCAAAGACATTAACTGCCGCGTTGACAGCAGTAGCCTTGAGCAATTCAGGTGTCACCGACGCGGGTGTGGCAATGCGGTTGCAGCAGAGACAGGGATCATGATTCCCAAGTCTCAAAAGCTCACCTTAAGACTTGAAAAGCCTTTTAAACGCCTGTCTCTCCACAGCGCACATAAGAGCCAATTCGGAATGGTGGTGCGATCTGTTCTTCCGTAGATTCGGACAATCGTTCGAGCGAGCCTGGGGTTCGGGCCGAATCATCATCAGCCGCTTCTCGGCTTCAATATCGTCGGGATGAAGATCTCAATCGGATCAAAAAACCCAGATCATAGATCAAATCCACTAGCTTTCACATTACCTAAGCGTTCATGTCTCTGAGACACCATGCGATTGTGATGTCGGCCATGATAGGGGGGGACAGGAGGTCGAGGAGGAGAGCCACCGGGCGGCAGGACCGTAACACAAGTGCCGCGAACCTGGTTCACGGCCGATCCAATCTCGATCAGCGGGATACGCCGAGCGATCTCTGGACCCCGTGTATGGCTTTTTGATGCAGCTTCACAAGTGGGGACGGACTTCCCCATTTGTCACATCGCAGCAGCTAGGGACATTTTCACTTCTTCAGCACTGTGCTGTCCATAAACGCCAGGTGGGAAGAGAAGGCACCTAAAAAGGTTGGTGTCAAGGGCTTCAAAAATCTCACAAATCACGCAATTGTCTATGCGTGCCGAAAGCAACCGAGGGGAGCGTTTTCCCGATCTATGAGAGACTCAAGTCTTCTCGCCGTCTCTACATCAAATTGGAAGCGAGGAAGATGAAGACTGTATCAAGTCGCATCGTGCCCACCCAAATTGTCGAAACGAATCAGCATTTTGATGCCTGCATGCACGAGTCATCTCAATTCATGCAGAGTCCAACTCGCAATAAAGATCGGCTCCGGTACTTCGCGTCTACTCTGCCTAATGCCTACCTTGGGTATCACATATCATTTCACAGCTCTTAGCTCTAGGTATTTGCAGCGAAGCACCAGCACCTCCAAGTCCGCATACCCGGCCGTAAATGTATGTATTCAATGTTACATCTTAATCTATCTGTAACATGCTCCCCTGCCGGCTGCCCAACGTCCCTGTTCCACACCTTCGACTACATACTAAGTACAGAGTAAGGTATTAGTCAATACTGATTCCTGGCGCACAAAGTTTCCCAACTGGCTCAGTCTCAGGCTCAGCCTTGCAAACACCTGGGAAGAGGGTATACCTAACTATGTAACTGGTAGAGATGTTATTTACGGTATCTGCAGGTAACTATGTAGGGGTAAGCTCAGCCTCTGGTTTAACTTGATAGTTAGGGGCCGTTCAGCATGTCCATAGGACGAACTCTCCTATTGGAGGGTGAAGTACATATACGTTCATATATGGATGGTAACCTAAGACTCCGCAGAGTTTCGCCTTCGCCCAATGTAGTGTATCCGACCCTAAGGTTGTAGGTTCAATACTCGTCATTGTCCTTCAAAAAGCCACCTAACCAACGTTACTAGTACCGTTAGTCAATGAAGATGGAGGAACGATCACTCCGTACTGTAACCCCATGATCCCCATCTCCGTACACGTACTGTCTGGCGACATCCAGTCCATAAATGGATTATGGTTCCAGGTGAGAGGATGATCGAACAGGCCATCAATTTGCAATCCCTTACCAATCCGTTGGCGCTGCATTTTATCTAGTAGTACTCAGGAGGTGTTTGACTCGCTTGAGGGTTGCTGAGGACGCTGTAAAAGCCAAGTGTGAAGTTGGTCAGCTCCATTTCGCTTTGCACACCAGGCCTTGCTAGCGCGTTCGGTTGGTTCCACACCGAAGTTAAGGTTATCTATGTTGGTGGGGCTTTCAGGGGCTGCCAACGTCCATCATTCGTGATATCACCTCCAGAAACGGATAGTTCATCAACATGAAAGCTGGTCCTTGCCGTTGTAGCATTGGGTCTATAGAGTTAATGATGCATAAGGTAGTTGTTGATTATATTATACGCACCACGGCAAAACATATCTTGTACTGTACTGTACAGTACGGTACGTGATCTCAAGTATTTCCAGCGCGGCCTAGCGAAGTACCCTGGAGTGTAGGAGTTGGTAGCCATCATTATCCTCAATCCCCGCTAAACTCCACTTGCTACACATCAAAAGCCTCGTATAACCAATGTGGGATGCGTTCACATTCATCAGTGATCAATGGAATGTGTATTAGGTACGACTACCTACAGGAGCTGTGTGCACGGACACTTGCAACCCCAGACGCACGGGCGCGTCCCGACAGACTGGTAACCAATCAGCGCTTTGGATTCAAGAAGAGGAGCATGGTGTAAGTTAGACGGGGCTCGAGACGACAGAAACGCAATCACCTTGGAAGAGGTTGGCATCAAGATGCCCTTGTGATGAAACAATAATCGGATGATGGGGTTCATTGTATTGTAGTACATAGTCGTACATAGTTACATCCTGATGCTGCACAGGAGCGATTTTACATCTCGAAGAACTGCCAGAACGGTGCCTACTACCTGCCTACCTCACTGTACAGTATGCACAAGCCGCGTGCCAGGCACGCATGCAATTTTGGTCACCAGACCGGTTAAACTTGGGGAACGCTTGCGCCCAAGCCCACGCCTACAGGGCTGTGTTACCAGCGCGCCAACAAGTTGCCAAATGAAGACGTGGAACGTAGAAGCGCGGCACGGGCGCTTAGGACGACGCCGACGGTGTGGCGGCTTCCAGAAGACGACGGATGGTATTTCGTCCAGGTGTTGTTGATACTGGCTCAGATTTTGCTTTCGTTCCAGGAGGCTCCAACATCATGCAACATGCTTGATATGGAAACAGGCGGAGCCCCTGAGAGGCATCTGGTGCGCAACGTCTACTTGAATATCCGAATCTCATTCACTCTGGTTGGCGATGACGCGAGGAAAAGGTGGTTCGCTGCAACATTCACCTAAGCAGACGGCGCAGCCGCGCGGATCCCACTCGGCGCCGAACGCTCTCCTCGGGAACAGCCAGAATCGAGTGAGGCCGAAATCGGAAGTCGGAAGTCGGTCTTCCCGGCGGCTAAACTTGAAGGGAGCAACTACACCAGAAACTAGGATACAGAAATGGGTTTATTAGAACCATGGTTAGCACCATGTTCACCTAACCAGGAAAGGAAGCCTTGGCCAGCAAGGAAGGGCTGAGATGTCTTCCGAAACCTGCGAGCACTGAGTCTGGTCCTTTGGAGCTGAGCAGAGAGGTCAGGTAGGGGAAAAAAAACGTGTTATGCAGGAGCCGGCTCTAGAACCGCCGATCGAACGAGTGTTGACGACAGCTGCGGACAGCAGTTCGTATATATTCCAGAATTGATATCAAAAGGTATCACAGTCACCGTTACTAGGCTGATTTGGACGAGAAAGAGTCATCGTTATTGAACAAGGGACTCCAAAAACCTGGCCGGAGTCGTCCGTCTGCACTCTGCATCGAGATGAAAAAAAGCATCAAAACGGACCGATCGACAAGGAAAGCGCGAAACTCGAGGATAAGTGGCCAATCTTGTTGCACGTCACACCTCAAGAAGAGCTTATAGCGATGCATGCCATCGGTGATCGGATCTCGCGTCCGCCATGCGGCCGCGCAGCCACCGTTGGCTCGTTGCAAAGGCACATCAAGTCAGTTATTGCATCCTGGATGCCCAGCAATAGCGATTGGTGCCCAGGTGTAACTGCCAAATTCAAAGGTACTGTACAATACCAATGTGCAGTACATAAGGTACATACAATGCTTTTACTTCGTACGTACAGGCAGTACTGTAATCACCTTATTTAGTCCACCCACTGCCGGAGCTTCTGCGCGGTACCTTATGCATTTCCCCGGCTTCTCGAAACGAGTCGTGTTGCACTGCCCAGACTGAGTTGACACGTTGACATAACTTGGCAAGTTGACAGTCGGAGACTGTGTGAGCCTTAACTTTACCATTCGGTTTGAAGCCCGAGGTGTTCGAGTTCAACCCGAGCAGAGATATGTTGCTGTGCCGCCAGGCAACGTGATGCGGCGAGAGTGTCGTGGGGATCAAGTAGGGACCAGGATCAGGTAACATCAGCTTATACCCCCATGTACTCCGTACAGTACAATACTTCATCACGGCATCACCATGCACGGTTGTGGCAGAGCCAAGGTAATATACACGCAAAGGGTAGTACAGCAGTTACAGCGTAAACGCCGTAATGTAGTACACTCATACCTTCCCTGCCTTCTTTCCATTGAAGTTTCATCTGATACCCCGTCATCGCCTAACTCCACTGATTCGCCGCCGTTGAGCCAACCAAGACAATGACAAGTAACGGCAACTGGCAGTGGCTGCTGCCACTTTTCTGCACGGAGGGTGCAGCTCGCCTTCCCCGCTGCCTCCATGACTGATCGGTAAGGTAGGACAGAAGTGGAACGACGGCAGGAGCAATCATGATGCATGGACCGGCCCGACGAGATTGGCGAGGCGTTTCCAGGTTTTCTCACCGCTCTTGAACTTGAACCAATTCCATCTCTTGCCTGTTTCTATGCCTGTGATGTGGTCAACTGCAGCACTCAATTACCTCGACGGAAACGTAACTCGGCATTACATACAAAACCCCCAGCGTTTTCTTGATCTGCGCACATGCTAGGCTACTAAGGTTAGTGCAGCAAAGCCAACTCGAGGGAAAAAAAAAAAAAAATGACAGGCAGGGGGCTCTGAACTAACGCTAACCAAGCCCAGATTCAATGCTAAGGAAATGGCCAACACTGTGCAACTCCGCGCTCCTCCCGTGTTCTCAGCCAGACATGCGAAACGGCGTCTGTCAAGGTTCAACCGCTCAAGTCATCTGGCATAGCTTGGGAGGTTATCATGTTGCTTCGGCTGCGACTTCATAAAACATCAGACCATCAGCCGGCGACACGGCACATGGAGAGTCAAATGACCAAACTCAATAACAGGTCACGGAGCCTGAGCTCCATGTCATGTTCAACACCACATGCTTGCATAGGCGATCTCGGGGGCCATCGTCAAGTTTAAGTGGCGTTATCCTCCCTTTGGGTAATTACCTCACCTTCCCCATCCAGCCTTGTCGTCGACAAAATGGGTCAAGCGGCGGACTCGACGATCGACGGCATGCCCGCCATAGACCCCAGTCTTCCACTTCCCCTGGCGAATCGCGCAAAAGGTGGCTAGCGCCTCGCACTGACCAGGGATATGCTATTGGAATAAAGGGCTGCGGTTCCAGCCGGCCGGCCCACTGTTTTTTGCGGCCTTGGGAAAAGGGAATACCGGAATGCCGCAAGACCCGCTGGAAGCCGTGGGAAGGGGGAGTATAACCAGTCAGCAAAGAGTTTATGAATCATAACCAAGTCCGTGTCCCGCGATTCCTTTTCCTTACATGAAAGACAGGGCGAGGACGTACGAAATTTTGGAATACTTGTTGTTGTCGTCAACCTTCCAAGCTCCGAGTCCAGGAACTGAGAGTGCCTTTTTACATTTCATGATAATTATGCATGACTGCGGACTAGATTCGGGCCTTGACGCCGTTAAGCGCTCGCGAGCGCCAGCGCCGAGCTGGTTGAGGCAAGACTCGGACCCCAACTTCCAAGCAGGCCTCATCAGGAGCAGCTCTTCAGGCTTCTGATGTCCACGCCCTGTCCTCCCTGGGTCCCCATTCACGACCCGGCTGCAGCTGGGTCTCACATCCACCCGCCGGACCCCGCTTTCGGTTGGCCATCTGTCGGATAAGTGCCGGCAGTTCCCAGTCTTGGACTCTTGGCCGCCCAACGGGCCAACGCGAAGTGGGCGTGGCATTGTTCTGTATGGGCGGTAAGTTACCAAGTATGTAACCACGTACAGAGCGTACAGATGCGCGGTTTCAGCGTTGCGGCGCTAAAAAAGCCGCATCATTTTATCAGATGCAAGGCCCTTGTCCTCGTTGACACTGACATTGATATTGGCCCTTTCATGATGTGATTGGCTATTGTTGCTCTCACCCGCGAGGAGGAGTCAAGTGAGATCGATGAACGCTAACCGGCAACTGAGGTCGACAAGCTAGCACACCGACTTGACGATCACCGTTCTGGTATAATGTAACCAGGTATCATCGAACTCGTCTGGAGATACCAAGTATACCAACTACAGTAGAACCAACCTCTCATTGAGGTTGGAGCTTGGCCCACCGGCCCGAAGGACGCAAGGTACTGTACAGTACACATACCGACCTACCCTCTCCTGTCCTAAGCTGATTCATGCTTTCCTCATCCCAGGTGTGGGTGTGTAGGTGCATATTGCCCAGTGCTGAAGCCAGGAGCAGCGAGACACAAGTGGACGCACGTTCATTTCTATCCCCTTATTCTTATTATTTTTCTTCTATTGTCTCTCTCTGTTGTCTTGATGGCAGAAACAACCAAATCTCATCAATACTAAATACACGGGAGGGGGGGTATTATCACGCTGCGTAACCTCACCTCTTCTCAGATTCGCATTGCCACCCACCAGGCCCAGTCTCTAACCTGAAGCAAGCATCCGTGACGCCAGGCCGTGCCAATACTGTAAAAAGTCGTCCAGCCACCTCTCCCGCTCTTGCTCCTGGCCATCCAAGGTTGCAAATTTCCTGCCATGCTGCTGCTTGCCCTTGGTAGTGTATCGTACATGAACAACAATGGGCTTAGAGAACCGAAACCAAAGATGAAGCAAAAGAGAAAGCAAAAGAGTGAAAACGATCTAAAAAAACTAGAAACCATGCCCAGCATAACCCCCCGCCTGCTCAATGTGCCCATCGACATCAACAACATCCAACCCACCATCACCACCACCACCCCCAGCAGTACCAGTACCGCCACCACCGGCGAGACCGGAGCCAATCCCAAAAACGTAGACGTCTTCGTAGCCGCCGCCGCCTCCAGGACCTGCTGCATGCGATGGCACGTAGCTTGCTGCTGCCGTTATGACCGGTATGCCGACGGTGCTGCTGCTGTGCTGATTCACAGTTTGGTCGCCAATCGTGTAGTACAGCCCGCCCGGTACGCCCGGCACGCCGGGTACGCCGCGGTCGGTGGTGTAGGATGGCGGTTCGGGCGTGACGGGTTCGTCGATGGTTGCTTCGCTGTGTGCTCGTTGGTGGTGGTTGTGCAAGTGTTGATGGTGCTGGTGGTTGGGAGTTGTGGGCTGGAATAAGGGTTGGGAGGTGGAGAAATCTAGGTCCAGGTCTATCGTGCCTGTTGCTGCTGCTGCGGCGGTGGTGGTGGTGGTGGGGGTTCGGTTGATCATCCCGGTGGTGGTGCTGCTGCTGATGTCGGCCAGTTGAACGTGGTTTGGGACCGGGACGGCGGCGCTGGGGAAGAGGTGTGCGTACGCGGACGGGTTGTTGCTCAGGGTGTCCTGAAGGAGTTGTTGTTGTTGCTGCTGGTGCTGGTGTTGTTGGTGGGCGTGGTGGGCATGGGTAAAGTGGTGATAGTGCTGCTGGATCTGGCTGGCGGCGGCAGCTGCGGCTGAGGTGTTGTGCAGTGTGGCGTGATGGTGCCGCATCATCCTGCTGCTGCTGTTGCTGCTTAGGGTTCTCTTCCTGTCGGTCGCTCCGTATCTGCTGAGATCGGCTCCCCTGCTACCGCTGCCGTGCTGGTAGTTCCCGTAACCGCGACCTGATGACCCGCGGTTGTGCCGCGCTGCGCTCCGCCCAGACTGCGTGCCTTTGCGGTAACGTGTCGTGCTCTGCACCCCTTCCTCGATCGCCCATGGCTCCAAGTACCATTCGGTCGCTTTCTTGCTGTCGGCCTGTGTGCCTGCCGCTGAGAGCCCGACCTTGTCTGCTTCTCCGCCCCTGGAGCCGCTTAACTTGCGGTCACGCTTGGTGAAGGCCTGATTCAAAGCGGAGTGGGCGGTTAGCTCCTGCGCTGTCAAGGGTAAGGAGTCTTGGAGCTAGAAAGTAGTACCTGGTTCATGCTCAAATTATGCCGGATGCTGTTCATCCAGCCCTTGCTGCTGTCGTTCTTGTCCTTGTCTGTGTTCTCGCGGAACCACTGGTAAATCTCCTGCAGGGTCATGGCATACCGGGGGTTGCTCATCAGGGCGCGGTAGATGAGTTGGGCGTATGGCTCTTCGTTCTTGTTGCTGCTGTTGGTTAGGTCGGTTGATGCGCCACGACTGCTCAGAGAACTGGTCGCGCTGCTGGTCTGTCGACTGTGACCATCGGCCCTGGTGTCTGGCAGATGCTGCACCATTGCCACATCTTCGACTGCGGCCGCACCAGGAGTCGGACTCAGCGCACCCTCTTCCATGCTTGGCCCGAGTGCTGTGCTGCACGGTGACAGAGGCTGCCCGCTTTCTGAGGTAGAGGAACTCCCGTGTCTCGATGAGGCGAGGTATGCTTCTGGGTAGCCACTGTCCAGTGCACTCGGGGTCTGGAATGTGTCGGTGGAGAACGGTGTTGGCATCTGGCTATTGTTGGTTTGGAGGTAGCTGTTGCCTCCCCCAGGCCGAAATCCTGAGAGCTGCGGGTCCAACCTCTGATACTGGACATGGAGGTGCTCAGATTCCGGTTCCCATCCAGCCGGCACAACCTGGAGCTGGTCCTGCGAAGCCCAGCTTCGCGGTGAAGACTGGGTCGAGCTCAAGTGCCGCTGATGGCAGGCTATTGCCGGAGAGCTGTGGAGTGAATAGTTGTCCAAATCCACGTTGCCGGTCGGTGTCCCGAGCGACGTGCTCCATACCAACGGTCCATGGGCGTGGTTACTGGTCACAAAAGGTCGTCGAGCGCCCAGGCCGCCGCGGTTCTTCTGTCCGCTCATGCCCGCGGCAAAGTGTAGCCCGGAGTTCGCTGAGTTTGGCGATGCGCTGCGCTGACTGGCTTGGTGAGGCGGCGAGCCGTTGACTGTTTCTGTATCTGCGATAGACATTCCCGGAGACGAGTGCGCTTCTTTGGCGTGTCTGCGAAAGCAGGCGGGATCTGCGCGAAGCCCCGTGTCGACAGCCGAGCGGTTGTATGCCGAGCGAATGGAGGGATACTCTGGGTTGCCTGAACCTGAACCAAAGTGGAAGGCTAGAGTCATGCAAGTCTGCAAAGGTTTCGGGAGGGGCAAGCGGGAGCAACGGTACGTGAGGCCCAGCCTGCCAGTGAGTTTGTTGTGTGTATGTGTTGAGAGAGAATGGGATGAAGTGTGGATAGCAGCACTGTTTCAAGCAGAGGACTAAAAGGGCCGCTCTGTTGGTCCGCCACGAGCCTGGATTCGGCCGGGTGTTATGGCGGTCGATGTGGAGGGAGATCGAATGCAGATTGGCACACTGCCTTGTCGCTCGGTACCTTGGCTCCAAAAGACTGTATCCCGGGCCGTGCGGATCGGTTCTGGCCCGTCAGCGTGTAACCAGGGTCTTGTACGTTTCTCCACAAGAATGGAGGAGCAAGGGTAGGGGGTGAGGGTGAGGCAGGCTGGGCGAAGCCTGGGAGTGCGAAGTGGGAACCGATCTTGTGCAGGGCTGGGCGTGGGCTTGCTGTCGCATTGTCTGGGAGACTGGACGTTGACAAGAAAAAGGCCGGGCGGGCAGGCTGGCCTGGGTGTACCATGCGGGTCTGGGCTACCTCAAGTGTGGTGGAGGAGATGTGTGAGATGAGTGGAGGGGCCCGGCGATTGTGGCTATTCTCAAGTACCCTGTACTGTACAGTACAGTATGTTTCTCGACTGCTCGTGTGTGTGTGTGTGTGTATGTGTTGTAGTTAAGTGTGTGTGGATGCATGTGTATGTATACCGTGAAGGTTGCGTGCCTGTAGTTGCCTGTGCCTTGCGTCCGCCAAAAAGGAGGGGACCAGACCGCAAACGCAGAAGTGGCTGCTCCCGCCATTCCACACAGTTGGAAGTCACAGCAGGGAGATTTCTGAGTTGGGCCAAGCAGCCACCAGACCGGATGGGGGTGGGAGGCGTGTGGTCGTCCAGGCCCCGGCCAGCCTCACCTCAACTTCGGTCGCATGGCCACACCGCACTGGGCCTCCTCCACATGCCATGCCGTATGTATGTATGTACGTATCTACATACATACATGCGACAGCTCCAATGCATGGTGTAAGATGGGCGGGACTGAAAACTGACAGACATGGGCCGTCCTGCGCCCCCCTTCTCCAGACCTACTTCAGGAGCAACGATCTGGCAGAAATTGGCGGGGCAAGCAAGGAGCCGCATGTGAATCAGGGCGATTGACAGCATCGGCGCGCTCAACAATTTCATTGTCATCCCGTCTGCAGCTTGTCGACTTCGACCTCTGCTTGACCTCTTGCCATTCTCTGCTCTACACATGCGTTTGTCATTGCCAGCAACCACAAGACGCCCGCCAATTCATTTTACCCCAGCCCAGGACTCTATGGCTCAGCGCTCCAGAACTGGCGGGAAAATCCACTCTGGGTTCCTCCGGAAGGCTGCATTTGATCGGCCATTTGCCTGACGGGACCAATCAACAAAAGGCTGGCAAAAGATGGGTTTGGCCAGTTGGTCGGAGCAACCAATGACGTGCAACACTCAAACCTCAGAAAGGCATCCTGCACCGTGCGACAGCTTCGCAGCAATCTCCGGGTTGTAAGTCCTGTGTTTCATTCTAGAAGCCCATCTAAAGAATGCGCGCTTCATCTGCAATGCTGTCCTTGACGATTTGTCAAATAGAAAGCAGAATAATGTGATTTTGACAGTCCGAAGCGTGGGCGAAAAGGGCTGCCGAGGTCTAGGCTTTCCGCCTGGATGCTCTCACAGACACGGCCTACATGCCGGTCACCGCTTCTGTCTATCTCTGACAGCGCCATACGCGTCTGCCCATCGCCCATTGTCGCCAGGCACGAGAGATGTGTCCAGATGTAGCCGTAGAATCGGCACCGCACCTGACTGCTCCCAAAGCAGAATCTGCCCAGGCAAGAAATGAGTGGCGCAACCAAGTTCCACGCTCCAAGTTCGGGAGGCGGCATCCTCGGGCGTGACGGCCCAGACCCCACGTCGGCGGAGATAACAGGGGAACCATGACCTGGCAAGAAATGGGTTTCACGAAATCCAAGACAGGGCGGACAATGTGTTGGGCGTGGATTACTCGCGCTGTGGTCGACCGGAAGTGCGCCGAATCGCGGTTTTATCGGCAGAGATCATACACTTCCTAACGGCCGGCTCGCCGGACACTGGGCGTCATGGGGGTCGGCCACCCAGTCAGCCACCGTCCGCGCAACCTGGGCCAGGCCGTAACATGCTGGAACACGTCATTGTCTTTTTTTTCGATTTACCTCACTTGCGGTAGTAGATCTGCCCTGTGTGTTAGCCAAGGCTTTTGCCATGGAGCTACTGGGTAGCGTCTTCCCAGGAGACACTACGCACCTTTTTGAACTGAAAGTGCAACTGAAGGATTCCCTGTGGAATGAGGGTTAGCATCGGATCGCAACATCTTGAAGCTTATACACGACACATGCATCAGACGAGCACTTCTGAAGAGTCGCATGGCGCCGACGTCGTCGAGCCGGTGGCGGCAGCTGAGTGGCGTGCATGAACCAGGCTGAAGAGGATCGGAAAGCAGGCCGGGGTTTGGGGCCGAGACAACTGCACCCCACGATCCTCGGCCCACAAATTGCGGCGCAGCAGCAGAAGCATGAGGAGCCCAAGCAATTAGGATAGCCTTACCTTGTCGAAACTGCTCTTGAATCCACGTTCTTTCTTGGCGCTGTAGTCCCATTCGCGATCAACAATCCGAAAGGCAATATCCTCGTATGGCGGGCCGGCTATGAAGCGGATGAGGCAGGTGTCCTCCTTGCCGGCGGGGGCGAACGACTCGCCTTTCCTGCGGCCGTGTTCTCGGATGATCTTGAACGTTGGCGCCTTGGTCTTGTCGATGAGATCCGGATAAAAGATGTTGAAGCGGTAGCCTTGGACTACCTTGGGCGGCGGATTGTCGTGATCATAGTGCGTCTGGTTGTACTTGTTCCACTCGTACCCCATCAGCACACGGTTGAAGTAGCGTGGCTTGCGGGGCCGATACTTGTCGGCCCAGAGCGGCTTCGACATGCCTGGGACCGCTTCCTCAGCAGTAAAGATCTCTTCGCCCTCGCCCACTCCTCGTGCGACTTCGCGATCATAGAGAGCTTTGGTGGCCTGCGAGAAATCCTCGTTTCCAGCCGCCGCAAAGCGAGCCGTTCCCGGAGGCGGGGCAGTGGAGGTTGCAGATGTCGTGGCAGACGTTGTGGCAGAGGCCACGGTTGGAGGAGCAGGTTTGGCAGCGCTTGTGCCGGCCTCTGGAAGAGTGTCGGCAAAGCCATCGGTAGCTTCCAATGCAGCTGCCTTCTCCGGATCGCGGGCCATCAGCAGCTGGACGCGAGCATCCTTGATGGCCGCGCAGACATTCTTTAGCTTGGCCTTTGCCTTGTAGACGAGGAGACTCTTGAGCAGCTCTTCCCAGTAGTCCGTGTCAATCGGCTCGTTTGACTGCAGCTTGGCCTTGATCTGCTTCTCCAGTGCCTCTAATTGCTCCAGCGTTTTGGGACCCAAAATCCGGTCAACCTCGGATGCAACCGAGGTAACAGCCCGACCTTCGGGACCCTGCGGTTTAAGTTTCTGGCGGCGGTCGGCACATAGAGTGGTCAGTGCCGTCCAGTACTCCTTGTTCCTCCAGTTGCTCTCGAGCGTGAGGTACGAGCGGATGTCTTCGTCGAGTTCCTTCAGCTGGGCCTCGTTCAGGGTTTGCAGCACGGTCTCGGGCGCGGGTACCCTGATCTCGACGTCGGCATCCTCGTCATCGAATACGTCACGGTCAGAGTCGATAAAGCGCAGATTGAAGGCGAGGTAGTCGATGGGTTTGGCGCGCCGCTCTCGGACTCGAATGTCGGCCTTCTTCTTTGCCTGTCTCAAGACAAACTTGTCTTCGTCGGCGACGAACTGCTCGGATTGTTGGTCTTGGGTGAGGTACCTGCCAACAGCATTCGCTGCCGAGTTCTTGGGCGCCGGTAGGCGAGACGGTTTGGAGATGCGGCTGGTCGAGTCGTACCGAGGCGCTGTGATGTCTCGGTCTCCTTTGCGCGGCGACTTCCAGCCGTTGATCATGGCCTGCCTACCCGGGTCCATCTTGCGCTAGGGAATCTAGCAACGATCGCTGAGAGCAAGTGAGAGACACAAACAACTGCGATGAAAATCTGCTCAATAGTTGAGAACTTTGGAGTGGGTGGAAAAGTAACAAGGAAGGGAACCTGGAAGTTGCACAATGCAAGCAGCAATGAAGTTCGAAGTTCCACAACTTTGCTGTCGCCTGAAATAAATCAAGTTGCAGCCTGCATGATCTTGGCATCAGCACCTCCGCCTAGAACCTTCAGTGCTGCCCGCGGCGTTTGGTTGATATCGCTGGAGTATCCGCAAAGCCTCATTCGTCAGTGGTCTCCGGGGCACGTGAGTGTGGGGCAACTGCCAACTTCCCGGTCGCGGGTCGCGCCCTCAAGGCTGAGAGGTTTGGCACTCGTGGGGTTGACAAAAGACGGAAGGAAGCACTGCATGTTCCTCAGAACAATCAATCCCCGCTGCATTCGCGCCGCCCAGAGCAAGACAGCAAAACACGGCCTAATTCAAGTTATTACAACAGCAAATGCGCATCAGCAATCCTCAACCGGGATCGAGATGATCGGGCCGTCGCCGAACCCCCCGTAATGCACCCGCTATTATTAATCTGCAGTCCCAGTGTCTCCCTGGGATGTGACAGATGCCATCGCTGCCATGTATAGCATCGGGAACCAGGGCAAGATTATGCGCAAGCTGCTGGGGAAGCAGTCGTCGCCAGAGTCTGCCCACGATACAGCGGCATCATCAGTCGCCAACGTCACCAGCTCTCCGCTTGCGCCCCAGTACCGCCCAACCGCATCGCAGGATGTCATCTACGCTGCCGGTGTGCCCATCACCTGCATTGACAGCTCCCCCGATGGCCGCTCTGCTGTTCTAGCCGGCCTCTACGTGCTGAGAACCGTCGGCCTCGACGGTCTCAATGTCAGGGAGGGCATCGATCTGCGCGCTCTTCTTGCTGCCCAGCCCGCGCTGCGGAACAATACGCCAACCTCGGTCGCTGACCAACTCTCGATCAAAGCCGTCAAGTGGGGCGAGCCGCAGGGCAGGCAGGCCATCTTCACTGCCTGCACCAACGGCAAGATCTTTGAGTACGACCTTGGGCGTGCAGCATTGACCTCGCTGGGCGATCCTGTCGACTGCGTCCAGATCCGGGAAGATTCGCGCCAGGTCAACTCGCTCGACATCAATCCCCACCGAAACTCGTGGCTGCTCTCAGGTAGCCAGGATGGCATTGTGCGCTGCTTTGACGTCCGCCAGCCTACCCACACCCGGACAGGCGCCACCTTCCGTTCCACCCAGGCCTTCAAGTGTAACGCCGACGTGCACCATGTCCAATGGAGTCCCAAGGATGGCTTCCTCTTTGCCTGCGGGACCGAGCAGGGCGTAGTGATGAAGTGGGACATACGCAAGCCCAATGCCCCTCTCCTGAGGGTCAGTGCCCATGAAAAGACATGCACCTCGATAGCATGGCACCCGGACGGGATCCACCTCGCCAGCGCGGGCCTCGATGGGAAGTGCAATATCTGGGACATGTCCAAGCAGGACAAGAGACAGAAGCCCAAGTGGACCATCTCGACCCCGGCCCCTGCTGCCACTCTTGCGTGGCGCCCCGGTCAGTGGTCGGCCACCGCACAGGGCAAACGGGCATCGCAGCTCGCCATGTCATACGATGAAAGTAGCCGGGGGAGGTACGGCATTAGTGCCGTACACATCTGGGATCTCGCGCGGCCCACAATGCCTTACAAGGAGATTCAAAGGTTCGACAGCTCGCCAAGCGCCATTCTTTGGCATGACCAGTATCTGCTGTGGACAGCCGGGCAGGACGGCATCTTTAGCCAGTGCGATGTCTCCTTCGCGGCCAAAGTAATTGATCGCCAAGCCGTCTCGACCATGGCCTTTTCCTCGCGCGGTGACGTTCTGATGCTTCTCGATGAACGCGCCCCTCCTCCTCGTCCGCGACCTCATCTTTTACACCATGACGCCGTTGGGATTCCCTCGTACAGTTCAAGTCCCACAACACCCAAGTTCAGTGTGAGCCGAAGCGACTCGGAGGATGATGCTGTCGGCAGCTTCCTGGGCCCAAGACGGCGCGGCAGCCGACGACGACGTCCAAGCACCCGTTCTACCCCCGCGCTCAGCACCACACCGCCCGCGGCACCAGGCATGGACGAAGTCATGTCGCTTGAGCAAACAATCAGGGTAACCGGCATCTACAGGCCCCAGCAGGCGATGGCCATTGGGCACGCACCTGCCGCAGCCAGCGTCGAGGTGTATGAGTACCTCGCTGTCAACTACCTGGAGGCTCTGTACCGGGAGCTTCCCCCGTACCCGGGTTGCAGCCCGCTGCCGGATAGGCTTGCTAACATCCTTGAGCATTATGCCAAAGCTGCAGCAAACGTGCGAAAGTTCCGTCTCGCGCAAACATGGCGTATCCTTGCTTACGCCGTTAGCATGCTTCTTCACCGTCGGGCGCAGTATCACCTTGAATGCCGCATGGACCGTCACAATAACTCAGCGAAAAGGAAAAGCGAAATAAAAGCTAAATCATGGGAAAAGTCGATGGAGGCGCTGATGGAGCCCGTGTTCGACGGGGAAGCGACACCACGGAAGGTTACATCGATGACAAGCTTGGATAATGCGCTCCATCCCCGGTCTTTGCTAACAGAAGAGATGGAGAGCACCTCCAACGTTCCCACCCCTCTCGCGCGGCCTGTGCCCGATCATAATGACCCGTACCATCCGGACGAGACCCGCATCGGCAAAAAACTAACCCCGATTGTCGAGCCAGAGAGCTTCACGCTTCCCCCGGCGGCCCATTTGCCTCTGTCGGAGCCGCGTAGGCGCCTCAACTCAGTTCCCTTATCCATCACGAGCCACGACAGCGACGTGACTCAAGCAAGCACTGAAGGTTACGATTTTTATGACACTGAAGCACTCAGCAAGGCCGTGGATGTCCCGTCGACGAGGCCAACGCCGTCACAGGTGCTCGATTATCACGAGCCAGGTTCTCCAAATATGAATCGCAGGTCCTTGTCAAGACACGATTCGGGGGACAGCTATGTCCATTTGTTTTCCATCTCGGACGAAAGCAGACGGACCACCGGCTTGGAAAGTTCACCCGACAGTAGCACGCCAGGGCAAGCAAGGAGGCACCCCAACGGCCGTGGAATTGATGGGGAATATCCCAGCCGCATACGCGGCAGGAGGATTGAGCATTCTCCAGGCCGTGATTCAGTCCCTTCCCCTCGTCGGCTGCTCCAAAGAACAGAGACCGACATGACCTCATACACGGACGAGCATCACATCATCACTCAAACCACGAGTGACAGTTTTGAATCGCAACGATATCCATCGCAGCACAGTGCTGGTTCCATAGTTGGCTCGCCCCGGCTACAGGCCTCTTTGGCAGAGACGGTTGCCTCGCCAGAGGACGACAAATCACCTTTCATAGTCGAGACGGATTATCTTTGCTGGCCCGACGACCCCCCTTATCCCTACCCAGTCCACCCATCATCTAGCTCTCCAAGCACTTCATCATCGCCCCTGCAACCCTATACCCTCATTTCACGTGCCCTGGAGTTTGAGGCCAAGTCTTCGGCTCTAAACGCCTCAGCCATTGTCCTCCTCCTTAAGCCTCTTCTTCCTGAAGATGTGATCGACCCTTCCCAAGCCGCTGCCATCCTTCGCCAGCACCATGCCCGTCTTATGAGCATGAAGCTGTTTGTCGAGGCGGCCCTTCTCCGCAAGCTCTGCATGAAAGGCTGGCCAGGCGGCGCACTGGCTCACACCTGGGGGGAGGACTATCCTGCCATCTTTACTACCGCACAGCAGGGAGTCCAGGCTAGTTTTCTCTGCACCAGGTGCCACAAACCGCGCGACGTCGACCGCACATCGGCGTCGACACAGTCAATTTGGCAGTGTGAGCGGTGTAAAGCTGTGATGGCGCCGTGCGCCGTGTGTGGGTACCGGGATACGGCCCCTAACTTGGCGTCCATCGCTCCTGGCACGCCAATGGGAGAGGATCCAGTCCTGACAACGTGGTGGTATTGCCCGGGGTGTGGGCACGGCGGCCACTCGTCGTGTCTGGCGGCATGGCACGCCGCGGCCGAAGAGCCAAGCTCGTACGCAGCCGCGCTCGGCGACGCGCCCGGCGGCGAGTCGAGCGACGGGTGCTGTCCTCTCGACGGCTGCGGGCATGCCTGCTTGCCTGGGGGTCGGTGGAGAGCCGAGAGCCTCGCCACGCGGACGGACGAGGTCAGCCGTGTCGTCCGTGAGGCCACACGCGCTGCTGTGGCGGTGGCGGCTGCCAATGCCAAGGCTGTTGCGGGACCGGTCGCGGACCATGTCATGGGTGTGCAGGCGGGCGACGAGCAGCTCCATGGGCCGGGCGAGGTGCATTTTGGAGGGCATGCGCATGGCGGAGGAGCTAGTGTGGCTGCTGCTGCTGCGGCGGCGGCGGCGAGGCATGCTGTGCGCAGCGACGGGAATGATGTGCCGCAGAGTAAGGCGGTGGAAACGGTCAGGGAGACGCTGTCGTCTGCGGTCAGTGCCTCGGCCTCCCGGGGACCGCCGGGGGCAAGCATACTCAGCTCGAGTCCCGGGAGAGCTGGCAGTGGGATTGGTCCCGAGAGGGAACGCCGGAAGAGTGTGAAGTTTGTTGCTACCGAGGATAGGCGGTAGGTGAGGGAAGTGAGGGGGGTTCGCGCCGGGCGAACTCGGAGGCCAGAAAACAGTTTGCTGCCTTGGACGAGCCGTAGAGCTTAGGGTTCGAATCCCTAGGTAGCTACTGCGACCGGTTACCACGCCGTTGGGTTCGTAACTCCGTTCAGACTGCGATGTTGTCATGTTGAGCACCCTGCCACACACATCCCGCTGAGTTAAGTGGATGGATGCGCTTCTGGCCGAGGCAGCGACGGGCAGAGTAGCATGCGACCCAACCACTGCACCAACCGGCAGGCACGCAGCTGGAAGTCTAGAACCAACATGTCACATCCATTAATTGCATAGGGCAACTCCCTCATAAACCTCATCCCATCTAATTTGTTAACGATTTTCTTCCAGCCCCAACAAATGCACACACCCTGCATCGGCTGTTGTCATTGAACAAACGAACGATCCCGATTACCGAGTGTGTGCTTGTTTGGACCAACACCGGATTACAGCAGGAAAGGGGCGCCAATCGGGGGCCATACACATTTTACATCCTCTCACGTCCAATGCCGCCCGAAACAACCGCACTACCTGGAGTGGACCTGGAGTGACTGAGGCTTCCGACTGGAGCCAAGAGAGCATTCCCAATGGCAAGAAAGCATCCAGTGCAAACAACTGTCGACCAGTAAATTGCCTACCCTGGATCCGAGGACTACGACTACCGTGTACAGCTACTTGTTCCCGGCCATTGCAAGAACTCCCCGCTGGAACTCCTCATGCAGCTTTATGACTGCAGGGAGCATAGGCGGCAGAATTTGGCAGAGAGCTGTTCCACAAATGCCCGCCTCATGGTCCATGAACCACACGGTGCTGGGCACACCAGCCCAAAACGTGGTTCCTTTCTTGAACCGTCCTTCCTGGCCGTCTAGACACAGCAATCCCGCCAAGCACCATGTCTTCCTTACGGTATGTGGGATTCCTAACGCCAGGAACTGCGTGTGAGCCGGCGAGAGGGCCAAATACTCGTTCAAAGCTTGCTCAGCGGTGCTGTCGAGCTGCGGGCGAAACAGCTCCGTGTACGACTCCTCTTTAAGCAGCCGAGGGTCGCGGCGGAACACAGCCGAGAGGAAGGTGTAGTACGCCTGTGCAGACGTAAAGACGCCCGCACCGCCGAGACACTCGGTGCCACCGCGCAGCATATCCCACGTGGGATCGTCCACCGCGGGCGGCTCACCCTTCTCGTTGAGAGTACTCAGATCGGCCAAACGCCCTTTCATGGCCGGATTCGTCTTGGGCCAGAAAGAGGTGTCGTTTTCGATTCCCAGCGGCGTCCACATGTGCCGACGCATGAATTCCTCGAGGGTCAGACCGGTGGCAAGGTGGATTGCCTTGCCGGCCCAGTCGTGTCCTGGACCATAGGCCCAGCTGGTCCCGGGGACATAGGCGAGCGGGATCGCTGCCTTGTCCTCCACGGTCGGCCCACCCCACGGCATCTCGTTACGAGAGGCACGCCATTTCATGAGGAGCGGGTTCATCCAATCGTACTCGTTACCCGACGTATGCGTGAGCAACATTCGCAGAGTGATGGGGGTCGAATCAGGCTTGAAGCTGGCCGAGTTTGTTTCATCGTCAAAGGCCGTGATGATGCCGTACTGGCCCATGGTGGGAAACATGGGTCTGACGTCCTTGTCCAAGTCTAGTGCTCCCTGCTCGACAGCTTGAAGGACGGCCACAGTCGTCATGAGCTTGCTCATGGACGCGACACTGCAAATCGTTGACGGCATGAACGGCAGGTCCCTGCCCTCCTTCAGGCTCGCCTTGCCGAGCGATTTGGAATACAAGACGTTGCCTAGTAGTGATTACCGTCAGCAGCTGAGCATAAGACGGTAACGACACTGGTTTCGGTCACGTCGACCGTGGACTTACCATCTCTATCACCTGCAATCACTGAGACGCCCGGGAGCAGTCCGGAGGAAACAGCGTCCTCATAGACTTTATCGATTTTGTCCGCCATTGCTCAGGGTTGGGAACTGTTTAGGCCTTGGACCTAGTAAGAGGGTATGGAAATCCGAATCTTCTGTGCTCGCCGGGATTAAGATGAAGTCAAAGAATCGAAACTCGGACTCGGACCCAATGGGCGGGCAAGAACTAATAAATAGTGGCCACGTACTGTACAGTCCGAAGCACCTGCTGCGTGCCACACCCCGCATTCCTACTAGTATGTTGGCTCGATCCTTCCATGTTGGTTATGAGTACATATACATATGCCGTCCAATGCAACAATTGTCACCTTGGACGCCGGCCTACACCGTAGACGGCAGGTCTATGGCATTAAGTTGATAGGATTCTTGTATATCACTGGGGTAAACATATGCAGTTGGAACTCGGTTGTAGTGTAACCCGGGCACCGAGCCGTGGAACCAACGAGCCCGAGACCCAACGACACATGTATAGAACCAACAACCGTTGGCGCTCATGAGACATGAGCTATGGAAAGGTCCGAGACAACTGGCGAGTGTCCTCGACGTCAAGAAGGATGCTGAGACGGCGGCTAGTCTGGAGTATATTTGATTACTAGAGCTTGGTGTCCAAGTTTCTTGAGGCGTAGGACACTAGGACTGGGACTCGCTCTGAATAAGACGGCTATTCTTGTCAGAACTCAGAAAGGGGTTGCCAACCATGATTCCTCAATGTTTAAACTTCAAATTTCAGTGACAGAGACACCTGTTCAAGTTACTTTGAAATTTACGTATTGATTCAACTTCGGCTTACATATCGATGGAGAGGAGAGGTACAATGGCGATGGAGCCGGAGGGAGTCGGAGAGACCGGAAAGGTTGGGAACTTGGAAACAAAAATGAAGGTCATTGCCTGCAATGTATATAGTATATTGTGCATCGTAAACTTGAAGGATCTGTTGATTTGGCTGGTTCAGTCTGTCTGGGATATTGACAAGAAGGAATCCAGGCTCCCAGGCAACGTGGGAGAAGGGCAAATATACCTAGGTACCTACCTAGATGGCGGATCAACCCTAACCCTGGGCATCATAATGCAGAAGATACGTACCGTATTGTAACGTTATACCGTATAATTTTAGACGCCTACTGTGCAGCCTCGGCGCCGTTAGCGTCATGGAGCAATGGACCACCCGGGTCGCCCGGCCCGCCTGTGTGTCACGGGTAGGGCGGTGGCTTGACCCCACCTTCCTGAATGTTTTCGCAACTTCGCCAAGAACGAAGTCGCTGATTCTTTCTTCATCACCAACCCAAGGCAGCAAGGTCATTGTCAGCGGCCTGCAAAGCACACCCGACTTTCCAGACCCAACGTGGCGTGTTTACCGTCTGGGTTAGACCAGGAGGAAGCGATTGACGCCCGGCAGCGCAGGGTGCCTTGCATCTTATGCGACCTGCACAACGGCAGATGTGGTTTTCCAAGCCCCACTGCCCCGAGAATTCGATCCCATAGTCCTCGAATCCGCTTATTCATCCCTTTCACGTCCTCCGTCCCCCGATCCCCCGATCCCGCGATCCCGCCATCTTGGGATGAGTGACCCGGTACAAGACGCCGATGAGTACCGATTATAGCGCAACACCCGCAACCATGCCCGGCGAAGAGAATTCGAGTGCGCATGCACCCGCACCCGCATCCGAAGAGAGCTCGAGGACGGATGCTACCTCAGTGACTGGCGCCCATGACGGCTATGACGCTCAGCAAATCCTCGCCCTCGCGCGCCACCCTCCTCCCGGTGCCTCCGTTTATTCTCCTACAGCTGTCCCTTCGGCCGCCCTGAACCCTCGCAGCTGCGTGACTTGCAGGAGGAGAAAGGTCGGTGCTCCAACTCGGGCTGCCCGCATCGATTGATGATTGACAAGCCAAAGGTCCGCTGCGACAAACACATGCCCTGCTCCAACTGCCGCCGAGCCCAGATCCCGTGCATCTTCCCCGCCCCTGGCCGCGCACCTCGCCGTCCCAGGCCGAAGGACCCAAATGCGCCCACGAAGCAGCCGTCCAGCGAGCGTGAGCTAGAGTTGATGAAGCGGTTACGGAAGCTAGAAGGAATTGTGGAGGAGCTAAGTGGCCAGATCGAGGTGGAAACCGTGCGTCACACCTCCAGCGCCGGCAACTCGCCCGAAACGGTGGCCGGACATCATGGGAGGGACGACCTAGCCCTCCGCCCACGGCTGAGCACTGGGTTCCACGCTGTGAATCCTGCCGGCGGCGGTCACAGCCAGGAATCACTATCCGCCGCGTCCGGTTCTGTGGGAGCTCGGCCGCCAGCAAGACAAGCGTCGGGGACTTTGTCGGAACCCGACACACCCCACACATCTTCCCCGGATATGCACAGACGATTCGGCAGGCTGGTGCTCAATGAGAAGGGCGTCACACGCTATGTCAGCAGCGCCATTTGGTCATCCATTACTGACGAGGTAGGCATCTGGGAGTGCTCGCCCCTCGGCGTCATGTGTATCGTGTTAACATTGTGCTAGCTGGACGAACTACGAAAGGCGTCGCAAGATCTCACTGACGAGGATTCTGATGAGTCAGACTTGGATGCCACCCCTGAATCTGCCGAACACGATAAAAGCTTGTTAGATCACCACTCCTTCATCTTCGGGTACCGTTCTGCCGACGTCGACCTTAGGCCTTTGCACCCCTTGCCATCTCAGATCCCTTTTATATGGCAGGTCTACCAAGAAAACGTGGATCCTGTCCTCAAGGTTGTCCACATACCAAGCATGAGCAATGTAATAAAGGGTCTGCGCCATAATATGGACAGCCTCACGCCTCCCATGGAAGCTTTGATGTTTGCCATTTATTACGCCTCTATCACTTCGCTCGAGGAAGATGAAGTACGTTCCCGCCCTCTTTGAGTGCACAAGGTCCGCCAGCCCTAACCTTTTCACAGGTCAGGCGAAACTTCAATGCCGAGAAATCGATCCTCATTCAAAAATACCGCTTTGCGCTTGAGCAGGCGTTAGCAAAGGCTGAGTTTCTTACCAAGCCTGACCTTACAGTTATACAGGCCTTCTTGCTCTTCCTTGTGCTTGTCCGTCGGCACGACGACACGAGATTCGCTTGGACTCTAACCGCTCTTGTCATCCGCATGAGCCAGGCGTTGGGGCTCCACCGTGACGGCTCACACTTTCCCACTTTGACCCCGTTTGAGGTAGAAATGAGACGACGACTGTTTTGGGCCGTATGCGTCTTGGACCTCCGGTCTGCCGAGGACCAGGGCACCGAGCTCACCATTGTCAACCGCACATTCGACACGCAGCTTCCGCTCAATATCAACGATAGCGATATTTCTCCCGAGAGCGAGCGTCTCCCCGAGTCGAGAGAAGGCGTCACAGACATGGCTTTCTCGTTGCTCCGATATGAAATTTGCGCCCTGGCTAGGCGCCTGCACACGGCTTCTTCTGACATGGCAGTTACATGCCCTCCCGATTCCGCCAAGTCTTTGGAGGAACGAGAAGCCTTGCTCACTGATCTTCACAGGCGAGTCGAGGAACGGTTGTTGAAGGACAGCTCTAGTCCCATGTCCTGGGTGACTTCCATTTTCTGCCGTGTCATCGTGGCCAAAATGAGGCTTGTCATATACCAACCAGTCTTGTTCCCCGGTCCCGGCAACGAGTACCTCTCTGAGGATGCGCGGGCTCGTATTTTCAACGCCTCACTCGACATCTTTGAGTACAGCCACATACTGAATACCGACCCGCGATGCAAGCAGTGGTGCTGGCTGTTCCAGACGTGGAACCATTGGCACGCCCTAGCCTACACCCTAATAGAAGCTTCGCATCGGCCATGGGGTCCCAAGTCTGAACGGGCATGGGCAGCGCTCAACCTGACCTTCCCGGGGCCTAAGCCTGCTGAACTTGAGAAACTGGCGGGTCACCACGGCGTCTGGATGCCGCTTCGAAAGCTGTACCTCAAGGTGAAGAAGCACCGCGAGGCCGAGATTGCACGTCTAAGAGCAGACCCGGAGGCTGCGCGGGAACTCGATGTGGAAGATCGGGCGGGAGCGTCGCCGACCAGCTTTGGGTCCATCCCCAGCTCCGTGAAACGCGCGATTGCCCTGGAGCGCTGGCGTAAGCTTGTCCACGCGCCGCCACCGCTCCCTGAGCCAACACCCGTGCCCGAGCAACCCGAGCAGCGGTCTCAACAACCATGTCAATCGGCAACGAAACCCAGCCAAGCCAGCGAAAGCACCAGTATTGAACCGGCTGTTGGCCCGGTGTTTGCCAAGCCTGAGTTGATGGATTTCATTGACACGGCCATGGCAAGCCCGACTTTTGTCTCGTACGATTTTGCACCGTTGATGTTCCCCCCCGACGGACCGCCCGATTTGAGCCGCTTCCCGTTTCTTGGATATCCAGCTGGACCTGGAGGCCTCTCGAGAGGAGACAGCGGCGTGGGTTTTAATCCAGGTACAAATACGAATACACCAGTCCCTGCGCAAGCGATGGGGCCCCCACTTCATCAACAACAGCAAACCCAACCTACGGCGGTAGGGCAAACACCACACACCACTGGCACGACGGATGAAAGCCTTCCGCCGTGGCTGTGGCCGGCTAATGCTGCGTCGCCTGGGTTCAACGGCGTGCCGAACCTCAACACGGAGGATGTCGATGTCAATATGGACGAGACGTTTGATTGGCAGACGTGGCAGGAGAGTCTGGGGAGGTATGAGCTGGAGGCGAATGGGGGGAGGGCGGGGAGTACTTGGGGGGCGGGGCTTTGAGTTGGAGAGTTTTGGATAGGGATGGTTGGTATTGTACGGTGCGGTGCATAGCAGGGAGATACCTAGTACTCGGCGAGGGCGTGGTGTTTGGGTGGCGCGGTGGTTGGCTTCAATGTTGCAGGGTATTGATAAGGTGGGAAGCCACTGGGCTTTGAGGGGTTACGCGAGCACGTAAATTACTGATACTAGCATAGATACCCGTTTAAAGAATGTATACTATCATGGATAGACCGGATGTGTACATACTACATGGCTTGCTTGGAGCCTCGAGGGGCGTGTGCTCGCTTCTCTGCCTCGCTCCTTTTCCTGACCGATTACTGAGAACATTCCAGTGCTAACTACCGTACTTTATATAAAGTACTGTATAGTGGCTTGTCTTCCCCTTCATTTGGAGACTAGTACTACTAAGTGTACTTTCACCTGAACCTTCTACCCCTGGACCCTCCTCGGGGTCCATGACGACATGATTCATACCCAGTAAGGGGTTGCGAACAGCCCAGGCACCTCATGACTCGGAGCCTGCCTATGATGTGCTACTCAACGGTCTCGAAGGGGAGACACTGGTAAAGCTGGGTTTGGAATCCCCATGGCAGACGGCCGTGAGCCAGAGGATGGTACAAAACTGGCCTTCTAAACTCAATCGCCAGTCGATGAACGCAGAGGAATGGACGGTCACGGTGAGAATCTTGTTTTACCTTGGGCAATCCAGTCAATACAGTACCTAGGTGGTCTTGTGATACATGATATAAGTAGGCACAACACAATATACCCCCACCTCAGCTCCCACCTCCAGTCCCAGGAACCTTTCCCCCTTACCACTCCCATAATCCACAGTGTAGTACAGTAGAATCAAGCCCACTTCCCCAATAAACTCATAACCGCCATACCCACAACCAACGCCGCCAGCCCCAGCCCTGTCCTGACCGGCCCGGACCTTGTCAGCTCCCCGCCCGCAAGCATCCAGTCATGCGCCCACATCTCAACCACACCAACCCACACCAGTATCCCCGCTGACAACGCATCGAGTGTGCCGATGGCTATGACGGTCGACGGATCGTTCCCGTTGAAGCGGTGTAATACACCGATACCGATGGCCATCCCTATGGGTGTTACCAGGGCGAAAGCGGTGGCGAGGAGGATTTTGTGGGTTGTTGAGACTGATACGGGGGTGGCGAGTGGTGGGATGGTGGAAGGGGTTGAGTTGTTGGATTCGCCGTCGGCGGTTGGGTTGACTTTGGTTTCGTCGGAAAGGGGGGCGGGTGTGGGGGAGGAGGGGGAAGATGTGGGTTTGCCGAGTGCGGCGATGCGGGTGCCGAGCGCGAGGCCTTCGAACATTTGGTGGAAGACGATTACGGCGAAGAGGGTTAGGAAGAAGGCGTCGCCGGAGACTACTAGGGTGAGGCCGATTACTGCATCATGAGGAGATATTAGCGCACGTCCAGTCAGTCAGTCAGGTTGGGCGTGTGAGTGCCAAGTGGGGGAAGGGCTTACGCAGGGAGTGGAAGATGACGCCTGCTTCGAGGACGGATATGTTGACCAGGTCGGCTCTGCCGGATGGGGGGGACAGGTGATGCCCGTGTGCATGTCCATGTCCATGTGAAGCGGACTCGACGCTCCCGCTGCCAGTGGGCGACTTGGCCTCCTGCCATTGAAGGAACCTGTTGCCGAGGTATTCGACCAGGAAGGACAGGAAGATGCCGGCCATGAGGATGGCGGCGGCGGTGGATTCGTAGCCGAGGTCGCCGAGGCATTCGTTTTGGAACATCAGGCTCGCGTGGGTATAGAGCTGGGGGACATAAGGGGTCAGTGGTATGCTTATGACATGGCCGGTTTGTAAGAACTTTATGTGGGGTACTTACGTGGACAAAGGCCGTCGAGATGATGACACCGGTGCCGAACTGCCTGAGGATGGTGAAGATGGCATGCTTGGGCGAGACGAACGAGGCGACGAGCATGGGAGTAAAAACGCCGATGGAGCTGGTGACGAGCATGACGAAGAGCAGTCCCACGCGCAGAGGGATGTTGTACTCGCGCTCGATGCGGGCGCAGTTGACCTGACCTCCTTCGCTGGCTCCGCCGGTGCAATGTCTATCATTGGCGGTTAGTGCCGGCGCGTGTTCTAGTCAACTCGATGGCGGACTTACTCAACACCAGCATGGAAGTGGCAGTTCTCGCCGCTTGGAGTTTCCGCGGACTCTGATTCCTCGCCCTCCAAGGTGATTTGCACATCGTCGCCTTCCGGGGTTACACAGAAACTATAAGAGAGTTAGCGACGCTACACCGGGCAGGGATGGGCCGACCAGCACGTACGTTTCTGTGCCATGAGCGTGGCAGTCGGTAAACGCCGGGGGGATATCTTGTGTCGCAGTGACGGTGGTGTGGACATGGTAGGGGGTGGTACCCGCTACACAGAGGCTAGACGATAAAACATGTCAGCTTCCCCATCCCACCCCATACAACGAACTGAACGTTTAGGTACGGTTTGACGGCTACTCACAGTTCTGACTCGTGCATCTGACAGCTAGACACGGCAGTCACGCTGCTAGCCGATGCAGCCCCGGTCGTAGGGGTCGGTGTGACGGAGCCAGCCTGGGCAGCGATAATCTGTACTTCGCCTGTTGGTGCCATACAGTACCTGATATTACTCAGTTTAGCGATCGACGACGGGAACAGGGCGACGCGGCTGCGGCTTACGTGTCTTTGCCATGGTGATGACAGTCAGTATAAGACGACGCCGTGGCGGCGGTGCCTGATATCCTGAACTCTGTGGTCCCTGCTTGGCAGTACTGAACGGTGCCGTGGGTATGGCACTCAGACACGGCCGTGATGGTGGCCGGGGAAACCTCTCCGCCGGAAGAAGGCGTGATTATGTGCGGAGCCGGAGCCCGGCGTTGGAGCCGAGTGGCAGACGCCGAGACGGGCACAAAGGATGGGGCCGCGAGTATGAGGCCGCAAAGGGCCGCTCCCCGAAAGGCGGACGGAAGCCCGAGCATGGCGCAGTTGCGGTGCCGAGCGACGGGAGGCTTGGGAGTGCCGGGATTTGAGCCGTCAGGGGTATCGGGAGAGAGGAAAGGGATGCCGCACACGGGCGGCAGGTGCAGATATATCGCAGGGAGACACTGACAGGGCTGGGCAGGGCGGGATCGGTGGCCAGGAAGGGAAGAATATGGGGCGTGTTATCCGTGGTATGTGTAACGGAGTATTCCAGAAGGGGGGACAGGGCCGTTCGCGAGACGGTGAGAAGGCGAAAGGGATTCCGTTTTTCAAATTGCCTCAGTAGCAGTTTGCCGCGCCGCAGGACAGGTTCGTTGGGTGTCTTTAACTATCCGTACGCCGTGTTGTTCGGCGGATGCCGAGGAAAAGATTACCTGAAGAAGGACTGGTCGGCGATGGGTGACAGACAAGGCAGGTAGCTGAGGTGAAGAGTCAGTGGATTAGAGGGGTCTCAACTTTCAAGCGCGCGAGTCACCTCATCCCCTCGTGTGGGAAGTGGGAAAAGCGTGGGATGCATGGAGGCGAGTTGAGAAACAAGTCCACTGCAATCCACTGCAATCCACAGCAGCCCGCTTCCCAGATGGGATACGGTAAAGCGGCCGGGTTCAGACCTGGCACTAGGAAGGAGGGACGGCGCAGAAAAATAATTCCTAGACGCTTCATTGGCCAGTTGGACGCCCAGAACGCAATCAATCTTGTGCCGGGCACCTTGATGGCCGGCTTGGCTGAGAACCTCGACGGCCGTTGCCTCCACTCTTTGGCTGACAATGAGCGCAATTGTTAACGTTAGCAACTTCAGTCCAGTGCCACTTGCCTTGCGCCGTTCTCCTCCGTTTGTTTCAGTACCTGACCCCAACCAACATGAACAGACAGGAAGCTAACACAAGAGAAACCTTTCCTTAGGCACAGATCGGATGACTGAAGGACATAAGAATGAATCATAAGGCTATGATCTGAGGTGCCGTTACTAGCAGCCATCTTTGTCCAGCCTAAACAACCTCTCGGCTAACCTCTAGAGTGACTTGGCCTCTTGGCATTGATACCATTCCCTAGGGGCTCCGTTTATGGACGGCCGGCACGAGGCCTGGAGGCTGGAGGCCAAGGTGGTGACCCTACCCTACATCACTCCCGTTTTCCCTAATTCTTGGCTTGCTGCAAGTCACATAAGTAGTGCATATCATGCCCAGCCTTTTCCGCCCACCTCTTGAAGTTGTCCCTCCGTTCTCGCATCGGCCCGCTTCTCGCCTCAGCTCTGTCCGACCACTGCCCCCAATCCCGAGAAATCAACATGAAGCCCGTTACCTATGGCACCCTTTTCCTGGGCCTGCTCTCAAGCGCCCTGGCCCAGACCACCAGCCTTGGACCGTCTCCCACCGAGTCGGTCGGCTGCGTGCCCCATAATGACCACTGGTAAGTAGGCCGATACCACATGACTTCCCCGTGACCAGAACCCCATCGCTAAAACAAACCTCTCCCATCGCAAAGGGACTGCGAGGGTCCTGCCGTGACATCAACAGGCACCACCGTCGTCATCAGCACTGTCACGTCAGCAACAACCACCGCCACTGAGACTCACCACGACCACGACCATGATGAAGACGGTGAAGACGAGCACACCGACGAGGCCGGCACCGGCAGCCTCGCGCCCAGCCCCACCGAATCCGTCGGCTGCGAGCCCCATGGCGACCACTGGCACTGCGAAGGCCCGGCCAGTGCAACCCAATCCGGCAGCGGTGCCGTCACCACCACGGGAACCGTGACCACCACGGCGCCAGGGAATGCTGCTGTCACCAGCACCAGCAGCCCCACGGGTGCGGCTGTCCGGCATGAGGCGACGGGCATGGCCATTGCGGGGTTGGTTGCTGTCGCTGCGTTGGCGCTTTGAGTCTGAGCGTGATTTCGTGAATTACCTACCTAGCTTAATCACTCGGTTTTCATGGCTCTGACAGGATTTATGTCATGGCATCAGCTCTGGCCGAGTCAGGCCGACAGAGGGATATGATGAACGGGATAGGGAATGCTCTAATGTATTGGTAAATACCGCATAGCTTGGAAGTTGGAGGCCAACCTTAATCATCATACAAATGTTAGTGTGCGCTGGCTTCGGTTCTCATAAAGAATGAAGAAGTGAAGCTGATCATTGAGTCAGACCCGAAAACCTGGTTGTCGGGTGCCGAATCTCGATCTTTCACTCACATCTCTGTGAGTCTGTGTTGCCCGATAATTTCCAACTCACGGCGTATCACCATTCCCCTTCGTCTGGGCCCTTGCGTGAGAACCTTGATGGCTGGGTGCTGAAGACTTTGCTAGTTTGTTCATCCCACCTTCTGAGCGAGGGTAGGAACTCTTGGCATCGAATATTTGGGCGGGGTCTGAACTCGGGTTTGAAAACTGAGAAAGAAATTGCGTCAGATGCAAACTTCAACGCTGCAAAAGAACTGATCAGTGAAAGCAGAGTCGAAAAGTGTCAAACGATCATCGTTTCCATCTGGTCCATCGGCTTAAACTCTCTCCGCCTAGGCCGAGGCAAAACCCAAATTGAACTCGAGCACGATTTTAAATATGAGTACCTGGTGGAACCCTTGATTGATCGGATATCTCTGCCATCAGGATTTTTATTCCGTCGTGTTACCATCACACAAACCTGAGCAGCTGACTGGACCCTTGTTCCTTACCCCCACGACCCATTGTGTGATGCTGTGTGATTGTGGTAAGCAGCACAAGGTCACACCCATCACATCATTGGCCCCAGCCGGAACGCTAACAGAAATCAAGCTTAAAGGCGCGGAATTCCTGCTAGTTATCCCTTACGTGATGTGCGCTCAAGAAACTCCAATTCGGATGCAGGTACCGATTGAGCCCGGCCCGGCACGAGCAGGTGGTCTGAGCGAAAACCCCGCAAGGACCGGTCGGCCGAGTTGATCCGGGCGCGGGGTCGCGTGTAACGGCACCGGACCAGGTCCACTACTAAGGTAACCTCCGGGTTTGGCCTCCGGGATTGCCCTCCGGATTGGCTTCCCGTCTCAACGACTCATGGCTGGGTGCGCCTTATTGCCGAGTCTTCCCCTCGATTGCCTAACTCTGCAAATCTACTTGGCCCTGCGGATTCTCGGCGTTGTCTTCGGTTCACGCCTGTTCAGCATCTTTTCTGCAGAAGTGACCCGGACGGATGGTGGTACGAAGTCTTAATTTACTAACAACACAAAATGAGATCGTCGAGCAGCAAGGTATGAGATTGATGTGTCGAGACTCCGAGTCCCAGGCAGATAGTCCTGATGCGTCTCAGCCATCTATTACTCCCATTGCCGATTATAAATCAGCCGGTGCGCTATCTCCCGGGAGCGACTTTGTGCAACCAGGCCCCAGGCCCGAGCCGAGTTGGGTGTCAAAATAAAGCTGACTGCATTGACGTGAATGCAAACTCGGGTGAGGGCCTCCATTTGTACCTGACTGAAACTCCAGCAATCGACAACCGACACTGCTGCTTTCCAGGGAGGGTGGGTGTGGGCGGTCTGTGGTCTACTCGGACGCGCCAGCACTGAGCTAATAACAGCAGCAACATGCCGGCTGCTTTTTATCGCCGTGATTACTGGCTGAGTGGAGGCCACGAAGTGGAATATCTGCACGTCAAGTGCAAGATCAAAATGGGTCGAACAACTGGAGCCCTGCCATTGGCCCGCACTGCCAGACTCGCGAGCGCAGCAATGCCAGCACGCCAGCAACACCTCTGCTGCAGCAGGAAAACCCAGCCATGGTGACTCGAAACAAGCTTCACCATCGGTGCTGTCCCGTGGGTGATGCTACTAATACCAGACTCAGAAACACAGCAGAGGATGGAACACAGCAAGTCACTCGCTCACTTTGAGCACTCCAGATCCAAAAATCAGGTCAAGACAAATAGGAAGCGCCACGAACCTCCCCGTCCTCGCCGCTCAGTCGCTGCGATACTATACTTGGCGACATATCACTAGGTACAAGTACCTGCACGTCACATTGAAATTGCAACTGCGGGCCGCAACCAGCCCGCCACCCGCTCACTTTTCAAAACCATGCCAAACCTTGTCGCCATCGACGTCTCGGTCACCGACAACCGTGTCAGCCTGGTCTTCTCGCACCGCGCCGTTGCCGCGGCCTACGCGGCTTACCTCCGCTCCTTGGACTTGCGCCCGCCCCAGTTCCAGGTCATCCCCGGGTACCAGCGGTCGCCGCAGCTGCACACGACGACCAAGGAAGTCAGCTTGTTCCTGCCGGATTTTATTACCTGGTACGCTGGCCCCCAGACAAAAACGGGATAATTAGAGACTTGGGCTGACCTAGGACACGGAGCTAGGTTCATCACGTGCCGGCTCCCCGACGATGAGGACAGCGTGACTTTCTCGTTTATGGACGGCGACGAGGAGTGCGCCAGCCGCTGGGCCGAGTCCATGGTCCTCTTTGAGAGGAGGAAGCGGCCGGTACAGCACGATCATCATCAGCAGGACGACGACGACGACACGGTCAAGGAGCTGCATGTGCGTCGGCTGTGGAACAAGTCGCGGCTGCTGAAGCGGCTTGATGAGTTGCGCAGGGCATCCCCTGCTGCAACGCGCGGTGCGAGTCCCGCTGTCTCGGGGTACGGTAATGGACATGGTAGTGGGAATGGGAATGGAGTCAATGGGCGGATGCCCCTGCCTGCGCCGATTGCAGTATCGGGAATCGGACGCAACGGGCAGGTCAGGGGCATGGGGGAGATGTGGTATTAGGGGTTGTCATTATGGTTTTGACACGGCGTTTTGGGATATACCTCTGCATTCTTGGTTGTTATTCTTGTTTGCATCGGCTTGCAATTATGATGATCTACTGCCCTGGAATGAATCAAGGAGTCCAAGTAGAAGAAGGGAAGAGTTTGAGCACCGGGGTCGTAAGACCAAGACGGCACCGGAGTTCACATGGGGACTGCTGCTATTTAAAGTCGTGCCTTCGGCGATCGCTGGATTCAATGCCTGTAAGCAGGACAACATCAACCCGGCAATGTGGAACCCGGAGCCGCTCAAACCCCTTGACTTCCCCTGAATCCCCTGTCACCGCCAAACACATATTATGCTTGATGTGGCATGTCGGCCAGACTGAAATATGCTGATGATAACTACTGGACATCCAAAACTTGTCAGGGACGGAATAATTTATATTTGTTGTCCCTCGGAATTCCCCACATAAGCATGGGTTAGGGTTGATGCGGACGCGGTGATCAAGATGGGGATGTCATGGTGGCTTAGACCGGCTGGATCGAGTCCCGAGTCGTCGATTGTCAGCCTTCGGGGTCCGGCGTAACCGCAGTTGGGGCTCATCCCAGCCAAACGGCTCCAGCCGCTGCCATCCTTTATCGCCAGCGATGGCTGTCATTCGTTGGCGCAAGCCAACAACAAAGGGAAATCGGTGATAAGCCACGGAGGCCATGGGAGCCATGTCGCCAGCCAAGGGCTCGTGGACAAAAAGTTTGCATAACGAGAAATGTGAAGAGAGGAAAAGGGTTAAGAGTCAGCAGTACCAGGAATTGCTTCATTTCGTCGTTTCTTATTTTATTTCTGCTTTCCTTCCGCTTGAAATAGTTAAGCCCCTTAACACCTTTCGCGCTGCTTCTTGTCTTTTGCCCGACTTACTGTCTATGAATGTTAATCGCTGCCAAGAATTGGTCAAACCCCCTAGAATTCGTCTCTTACACCATTACACCCAGTAACATGCTGCGATGCGCTCACCATGGAGGCAAAATAAAAACCCTCACCGCGACCGCCCTCTGCGGCCGTCCACCCCTCGGAGGCGACAGAGCCGGCCGCAGCAAGGGCCCGCGGAAACCTTACCCAAGATGCGCCCCAAACTCCTTCCGCCGCTGGTGATTCCTTTCCGGCAGTCGCCCGAACCGGTCTTGCTTCACGTTGCCTTTCAGCATAACGTCAAGCCCCAAGTGCAGCAGTACCAGCAATGGCAGCAGCAGCAGCAACGAGAAGACCCGCCTCCGCCAGCGTACCAGGCGGAGCGCCAGACCTGGCACTACGCGCTTTCTCCGTATCTGCTACAGCAGCAAAAGGATCTCCCTACAACACCGGCCTCGGAGCCGGACTCGGAGGAAGCCGTTGATGACCTTGCGCTGTTCCAGTTCCATCACCCCTGCCTGCTCCCGCCGCCGACGATTCCTGATCTCCCGCCGACGTACTACTCCTCACGCAAAAGCAAACCCCAACGTATCCCGACGGTGACGGCTAGAGGAAGACGGCTGCAGAGACAGGGTACGATCCGACGCCAGGGGAGTAACAGGGTTGGAGGAACAGCAGCACCAACAGCAGCAGCAAGTACAACAAGTACAACAGCATCAGTGCCGTCACAACCTACATCATCCCGCCCAGCCTCGCCCTCACGGACCAGGACTGGGACTACTAGGACCAGGTCCAAGTCCACGCAACGCTCTCGCTCCCGGCCTAGATCTAGGTCTCGCTCCCGTCCTTGCTCCGAGTCGCGACCAGAGAACCGTCTCCGCTGGACAACGGGCACCATTGTTGCCTACCAGCCCTCTGGTTCTCCCGCCGGACCCGGAACTGTCAAGCCTACTGGGATTAATCCCCAAACAGGGAAGGACGGGGACGGGGACGGGAACGGGGGTGTGGAACAGGGTGAGGATGAATACACGCCAGCTACTACATCTGTGTACAGCCCGAGTCCGATGACTCCCTTTCTGGCACGGTATGCGGCGGTTGAGGAGGTGTTGAGGGATATGATCCAGGGGCAGGGTCAGGGGAAGGGCCAGGACCAGGGTCAGGGTCAGATTGAAAGCCCGATAACACCATTCCTGAGAGAAAAGGTTCAACAAGTTGGAGAGGACGTGGATAACTTGAGCATGAACTCTGGGGCACGGGAAACGAACCGTGACCGGGATAGTGGCGTGGCGGGGTTGAAACTCCAAGTTCCATGTCAATTTCATGTTGAACTTGAACAGGATGCGGCAACGATGGCCAGGGGCCTGTCAGGGCACATGCACATGCACATGCAGCGGGCGGCGAGCGGTACTTCCAGTTCCAGTTCCAGTTCAAGTTCTTCAGGGGCTGGGCCGATGCATGTGGTGCCCCCGAGTCTGGGTGCGCAGCGCGGAACTGCAGGTGGTACCGAGACGGACTTGGACCGGGCATTGGTGGCACTTGAACTTGAAGAATATGCTGCAAGGGAGCAGGATGCGTTGAAGGAGTTGCTGGGGGTTATTGATTCATATTTGGACCATGGAGAATCGGCTTCATATGGAGAGGGGATGGGGAATGTCGTGAATGGTGCGGTCGCGGGTACTCCTGGCATGGAGAACCGGGCGAAGAGTGATGATATGGTGGGTTGCCCTGGGCTTGGTGCTGCGTGGTGGAAGGGATTGAGGGAATCTGAAGCGTTGCTTTGACAGGGCCAGGTCATAAGATTGTATATACTTTCGATACCAGACCAATCGCTTTCACAACGAACGGTCTGGTGCTATTCGACATGGTTTGGTTCGGGCCCCTGTACCCAGAAACCAGGGGCTGTCGACTGTTCATAGTTGTTCATCCTGTACATAAGAGATATCAGAATTGTCCATTAATCCGACCTCGCCACCGCCACTAGCCATCAACACCATACTTACGATCGAGGCCGACTTCCATCCGGCAAGGCACACTGACTGGCAGCCTGCGCAGCGCAGGGAGGTAGCCCGGCCGGCTCCGGGCCCGCGTCGGTCAACAACAGCGCAGTGACACCCCTCGGCGGCAGGGTAATCGTCATGTTCCTCACCACAGTCCCATTATTGGTGTGCGACCACATGTCGTAGACGTTGTACGCCCTCCCCGCTCGAATCGCCCAGCTCTCGGCCAGGTCAAAGGACATTTCCCGCCGGGCATTGGCCGTATTTAGCACCATAAACACGACTCCATACGATGAGTTGCCGGTCCAGTACTCGGCCGGGTGCGCCGGATCCCACGTATAATCACGATTATACCCCCAGCGAAACGGCGCAATGGACTCGCCGACGTTAGGGTCCTGGCTAATCTTCAGCACATCCTTGTTGGTAAGAATCTCAATCGTCTCCTTTGACGCCGCCGCCATGTCCGAGCCGATCAGCAGCGGCGACTTGAGCAGCGCCCAGGCGGTGAAGTGGCTCTTTGCCTCGTCGTAGGTCAAGTTGCCCGGCGGCGTGCCCCGGCCAGTGTTTCCAACCTCGAGCATGTCAAAGTCGTTATGGGCGTAAAAGTTGGTCGCGCTGGCAATGAAGCTGGCCTGGTTGAGGATGCTGGCGAGCGCGGACCACCACGGCCGAATGTCACCCCCTGTCCGCCACGACTGACCCAGGCGGTGGCCCCAGATCCAGGGCTGCTGCCAGCCCCATTCGCAGAGGGCCAGTTGGAAGGGACGGGTTTTGGTCTTCTCGGCGCGGTCGCGGATAGCGTCGACCATGCGCACGTAGCGGCCGTAGACGTTCTCCTGCGTCACGTTGTCGGGAGGGATATTGCAGTTATCGTACTTGAGGTAGTCGAAGCCCCAGTCGGCGAAGGTCTCGAGATCCTCGGATTCGTGTCCGTATGATCCGGGATAGCCAGCGCATGTGCGGTATCCGGCGTCGCTGTAGATACCTGCCCTGAATCCGAGGTCGGCCAGGGCTTTTGTGAAGCTCTTCATTCCGTGGGGGAACTTCTTTGGGTCTGCTGCTCTCTTAGTAGCGAGACTTGGCGATGATTCAAGACAGCAGTCGCTTACCTTCTACAATCCTGCCTTGAGCATTCCGCTCCCTCAGGCTGTAACAGTCGTCCAGCATGAATATCTGGTCGCTCGTATGTTAGCCGTCTGAAGCAAGCATCCGGTCAGGACGTCGCGAGTAAGGTGGTCTCGGCTAACATACGTTATATCCAGCCTCGAGAAGACCACGATCAACCATTGCCCGGGCCTGTTGGAGCAACTCGTCGGCAGTGTAGTCGCATTGGTAGATGTTCCAAGCTGTTGCATCAATCGGTCAGTACTAGTCCCTGCTTCAAGGAAGTCAGAGCGCACTTACTGTTGAATCCCAGCGCAGGCAGCTTCCCCACTCCGTTGTCCAGGGCGGTGGCGCCCCCAGCGTAGAGCAATCCTAGAACGAGAAACGGTAGCATCTCGACAAGTGAAAACCAGCCAAGTATCCTAAGCTTGGGTCAGAACAAACCAAAACTTCAAGTCATAGAACTGGATGATGAAGTTGCTCTTTTATACAAATTTAGTAAGTGTGCGCGATCTCAGTAGGCGAGGCACTGCCGAGTCGATCGGATCTGGCAAGAGTGCAAGAAATGCTGCAGACGGGACAAACAGGCACAATTCAGATTTGGAAGCCTGTTCGCGGAAGGACATAAGCGGCCGCCTTCCTTCCGTGACCCGTCTCTGTTCTGAATTCTCCAGGAATGGGAAGCGATGCTGGCGAGGCTCATAGTAGGTTCAACCGATACTATTCGGCTGCAATTGCAACAACGGATTGCTGATCATCGAGGCGTTGTCGGTAGTTTGTGAAAGGGTTGACTGGGAAGAGAGTCAGAGAGTTGGCAAATTGGTGATCGGTGATTGAGTGTCGTGTCAGCAGAGCGTTTGCGTTCGTTAAAGCGACCGCTATAACCCTTAACCCACTTGACTAACCCACATTAGCATACAAGCTTCCAAATCAAGTTAGCTCACCCTAGTCTTTAAAGGAAAATTCATCCTAACTTCCCAACCTATTGATGAGTTTCATGGCCAACTGTTGAATTCAGAATACTTCTATGAAATTCCTTCCTCCAAAAAACCACCAAAGATTCATCAACAGTTCAAGTTGGCTTGCACGGCCAGTAATTGCATCACTGCCTCTTCCAGAACCACTCGCGCACAGCTGACTACTGCAAGCCGCAGCCGGCCGCACAGTCAAGAGTCAAGACAACCTAGCGGAAGTTTGCGACTGTTGAATGCTAGGTATGTAGAAAGCCTCCTTGATTCACCCACCTGGAGCAGCGCTCCATACATACCTAGACGATATGATATGCTCATGCCCCCTTAGGTACCAAGCCCGCAAAAGTGGAAATACTATGTCCGCAGCCTCATTCGACAGCCTATCCTCCCCATCATCCGATGGCCAACCCTCTATCACGCATACAGTGGCAGCTTCCGGCGACACAATCCTTACCTTGAATAGCCCAAATGCCAAATTCGCTCCATGGGAGGACGACAGCAGCCCGCCGGCTACGAATGGCTCTCCAATCACGTTCCGAGTCTCTTCACAACACATAATCCAAGCTTCATCCGTCTTTGAAGCAGCTCTGACGGGGCTTTGGGAGGAAGGATCCAAAAACGCTGAAGGATTTTACGAGGTTAGCGCAGAGGATTGGGACGCTGAGGCCTTGCGCATCGTCTTGTGTCTCATTCACAGCCGTACCTCAAACATCCCCCGGAATGTCACGCTTGAGATGCTGTGCAAGATCGCCGTATTGGTGGATTATTACAACCTTCACGAGGCTCTCCGCTTCTGCGCTTCACTGTGGATTGAAGACCTCCGGGACCCGCTTCCAACCACTTTCGGCAGAGATCTCATCCTCTGGATATGCGTCTCGCATATTTTCAAGGATGCCACTATCTTCGAGGCCGTTACGAAGCGAGCTATTGAACATAGTCCGGGAGACATCCCGTCGCTCAACCTCCCGATCCCCGAATACATAACCGGTAAGTCTTGGACTTAAAAAGACATTCTACTTTGCATAATAACTAGGTATGCAACTAATTTTAACTTTGTAGGCAGCCTCAATGAGCAGAGAGAATTGGCGATGAAGCTGCTTATCTCTGTTTTGCAGGAGGCCAAATTTAAGCTTCTTGACGGCCGTGTCGGCTGCTCGTTCGAATGCCGCTCACTTAACCTCGGCGCCCTAGTCAAATTCATGCACGACGAGGGCTTTCTCGAGGCTGTGACAGAGAAGTCTTACGAGGGCCGCAGCGTGACGGATGTCATCACGAAAATCCGAGAGATGAAGTCACCAACGAAAAGTTCTTATTGGCGCTGTCCGGGGTTCTGTTCCTTTACGCTCACCAAGCTGATAGAGTCTGGTCTTGGGACAGCTACTGCACAAATTCGAGGTCTGGGGCTCGGCGGATATCCTGTTGGTACCTGGAACTGGGCAGGCTTCTCCGGCGTCTCTTTTGGCATCCCTAGGTAGAGAGGGTAGGTAATTATTGCTGAAACAGCTACGTCCAACCAAATATACGTACATACAATACCAGTACATGAGATTTGACCCGACGCTCAAGCAGCGCATAATGACAACATCCGACCCGACCGGATCGGCGGCGGAGCCGGACCCAGCGACCCGGACAACCCAATAGCCAAGCCACAAGGAAAAGCGTACCATAATATTCACAACTTCAGCCCAAGTCTCTCAACACATGAAACCAGGCCATACCCAGGTCCCATCATCGGCTACCTTACCAAGGTTAACGCGCACCACCACCGCCGGCACCAGCGGTCTGGAGTAGTCCAAGATCTACTCTCAAATTCCAACGTTGTCACAGCGCTTTACGAATAATACGACGCACAGATATGGTCAGCGGAAAGGAACGGTGATTGCTATCGTGAGGGGATGATTCTTTCAGACGCCTACGAGCTCCGGCGGACATGGCAAGGGTGCAACGGTACATGGTATGGTGTGGGTTTGCGGAGGTTAGCACTGGAGCTGCTTGCTTCGATCACTCCGTTCAAGGCGACTGCTGTTGCGTTATGGTTAGGATACATATGGACGGCAGGTGTCCAGCGGTAGTTACATGTCAGTTTTGTGTCCCATTCATACTTCTGCAATCCTTTAACGGCTTAACCCCAGGATGTTGTTTTGTCCAAAACATTATTCTCTCCAGAACAGCGTTGAGACATAAAGTCAGTCATCCCAAATACTCTTGCCTCCATACACATTACCAACCATAAAACGGGCCTTCTCAGCTACCACTGCATTACCCCCTTGATTGTTTGTTCGGTCCTGTATCGTCATCTGCTCTTTGACCACGTTGCCGACGTGGGCCCGGGCCTCCTGGCCAACCTTGATGTTCTCGGCTACATTGGTCACCTCTATGCCGCAAAACTTCTGCTCGGGGGCTGGTGGATCTGCAGCCACGCCAGGATCTTCCTCCGTCTCCGATTTCGATGTGCTCGGTTCTGCCGTTGTTCCACTTGGCTGTCTCAACGCCAGTTCCTGACCATTGACAGGTTGCGTAAGTACCCGCTCCATGTCATCCAGAAGCCTGTTGAGGTCCGCCATCATATCTTCGAATCGCTTCTTGTCGTATAATGCCCAGGTCGTTTTTTTGAAGAATCCCGTTTGCCAGTGCCTCAGATGTCCTGGTCTTTGAGATTTGTTTATTGGCGCGCAGATCCTGTGCTTGGTGTCAACCTCTTGGACGGTACCCTTGATCTGGTACCTCCTTTCGCTGTGCTGGATGTCTTCGAAGACGTGCTTGAGCTCTCTCAACAATGATCGGATAAGTCTGACTTCCTTGTCGGTCCGAGCAGGGCGAAGTGACCGAAACCGCGGGTCCTCGTTGATGCCGATGGCTGTGCCCCAGCGCTCCAGTCGAAGCTTCGCAGTGTCCAACCGCAGTTGGTATCGCTCGTAATCGTCGCCGAAATTTCGACCAAGCCGAATGTATTCGAAGCAGTCGATGCAGTTTTTGAAAAGCCCGACTACACTCAATGCTCCAGCGACGACTCCAAAGACTTCGGCCATTTTAGAGCGACGGGGTCGGGTCTTGGGTGGGTAGATAAACTACGACTCGGAGAGCGGGAAACTGCGGCGGTTCTTCTCGGTGTGTTAGCAAACATACCCTACCTAGCCTGAGTAACGCCACCCACTCATGGCGAACCACGATTGCAAGGCTCGGTAGCTCTTTCAGAGTGGGTGGTGTACCCCAGATGATACCTTAGGGCTCCGGGCCGCCTCCAGAGTCTCTTGGTTGGCTGGCTGCTGGGTGGACATGCAGTGTGACAGGTGTGCGTTTCTGCGAGTCTGCCTTGGCTCTCACTTTCCTGCTTGGCATGCTTTGTCAGCCGCCTTGAACCACGCTCCTTCCAAGTGCGTCGCGCAGCCACTGGCGACCCGGCGGTTGAGCCGCGATTCTAGGGGGAGACTGGACCCCGCACACGTTCAGGCATTCGCCCCTCACAACCCCTTCACTCCCGGGACTCCTACCGTACAGTCCCTGCAACCTGAGTAAGAAATGCCCAAATTGTGAAATCACACAAGATTGACTAATAAACGTACTTGGAGTAGCGCTTTCCATTTATGTAGTTACGTACTCAAGAGAGTTGTAAGAAGTGATCTTGTTAGAGCTCGGATTCTAATTCTATTGCTTACAGGGCACGCCTGCACGGCTTATAGGGAGGTTCATTTTCAAACTCCAGCCTAACCTACACTCCTAAAGTTCTGTTTCTCCTGACAGTCCCTTATACCACCGAGGTGACCACGCGACGCATCATCATGGCCTCGATGACATCGAACGTGGCGAGCGGCTTCCGCCTCGAAGGCCATGCCCGTCTTCAAGTTGGAAACAACATTAACGTATACTCCGCTGGGAGAGATTGCTTGGCCGACTTGCGTTCACAATGCGTGGACCCAAGCGACGTCAAAAACCGGATCGAGTTCTTGAAGGGTGGCCTGTTGAAGGCCTCGTACGAGTGGGTACTACCAGAGTTCTGGAGTTGGCACGGAAACAGCTTGTCTCGTCTCTTCTGGATCAGAGGGGATGCTGGCAAGGGCAAGACCATGCTGGTGTGCGGGATCATCGACGACCTGAAAGCCCGGGGACATGGCGACTTGATCGCCTACTTCTTCTGTCAAGCCAGCGACTCTCGACTTCAAAGTTCCACGATGGTGCTGAAAAGCTTGCTCTTTTCCCTCCTGGCTCGACCTCGGTATGGACATCTCAGGAAGCACTTGGAGGTGAAGCACAACAGCGCTGGGAAGCAGATGTTTGACGATTCCAATAACACCACCTTTTTCGGTTTGCGAGATGTCCTTGAAAATATGATGCGCGACAATGAGTTTCTGCCGACCTGCCTGATCGTCGACGGTCTTGATGAGTGCGAAAACGGGCTCGGCGAGGTTCTGCATCTCATTAGAAACACTGCCACGACGTGCGACCGTATCAGATGGGTAGTCTCAAGTCGAAACTGGCCGCCGATCGAGCGACAGCTGGGTTCTTTAAATTTCGCCATCACGTTGAACCTGGAGAAGAATGCAGAGAATGTGTCCCAGGCTATTTCTCACTACCTTGACCACAAAGTCCCACAGCTGGACTGCATTCGGGACAACACTGCTCTACAGCGTGAGACAAAATCTCGACTACAAGAGAAAGCCAATGGGACATTCTTATGGGTGTCTCTTGTACTCAAGCAGTTAGAGACAGAGTGCTTCCTGGAGTCAGCGGTTCTTCCACTGATTGAAGATATCCCCCCTGGCCTATGGCCAATATTCGAGCGGATGATGTCCAAACTCAAGGAAAATCGAGTGTACTTCGAAGCTTGCCGGGGAGTCCTCTCAACCGCCACGCTCACCAACCGTCCACTTCAGCTTCAAGAGTTGCAGTTTCTTGCCGATGTGAACAAAACCGACAATATTTCCAAGGTTGTGAACCTTTGCGGGTCGTTTCTTACCAGTGTCGATGGTACGGTTTCCCTGATCCACCAATCCGCGAAGGACTACCTTCTGGATCCTCAAAGAGCGCTTGCAGAAGCCTTTCCAGAGGGGTTGGCCGGGGTACATCATCGAACTTTTGTGCGGCCACTCGAGTTTATGAACAGTACACTGCGTAGGGATATCTATGGTTTGCGCCGCCAGGATTGTTCGGTCCAAGAGATTCAAACCCCTAGTCCAGACCCTCTTTCTCAAGGACGATACCTATATTTGCACGTTCTGGATAGATCATCTCATTGAGTCAAGCCCCCACCAACTCGAAGACGATCGCGTGTTTCATTTCCTCCAGCATCACTTTCTCCACTAGCTAGAGAGCTTGGCCCTCCTGAGGACGTTCTGAGAGGGAATTCTACTACTCAGAAGGCTTGAATTCCAGCTCAGGGTGCGTCGTAAGTGGAAAGCTTCCTAGTATCTCGCCGCTGTTGCTGATACAATTGCAGTCCCGTACTATCACGCACCCACCTCTTATCAGCTTCTTGACAGATGCAATCAAATTCGCACTTCACCACGGGCCCATGATCACACATTATCCGCTCGAAATTTATCACTCTGCTATCATATTCCCACCCCTCAACTGTACCGTCAGAAATCAGTTCTGGGATCAGAGGCCGCGATTTCTGAAGAGCAGCCATATTAGCGAAGCTAACTGGCATTCGGAGATTGCTATAATCCAGTCTAAGGGCATGCTAACTGCTTTGGCCTTCGAGGCAAGTGGAAGTACACTTCTCTCTTGTTCAGGGCATTTTGACACTGGTACGGTACTGATAAAGAAATGGGATCTCGGCGCGGGGAGGATGACAAGTCAACCTCTCCCAGTGTTGGGCTTATCCGAATACGGGGCAAAAGCTGTGTTCTCGCAAGATTCCACGCTGCTCGCTGCCGCGGATGAGCAGGGTCTGTGGGTTCTGGAGATTTCAAATCCGCAACAGACGTCAAAAAGAAGCCTGAGCGGGCTCGGTGATATCGATTCAATAGCTTGTCTCCCGGATGGGAAGGGCTTTGCAACGATCTCAAATTCAAAACTGCAGCTTTGGAACAACGCCTTGGAGGAGGTTCAGCCCTCGCATCAGTTCAGCTACAGCATGACAATGTCGAAAATAGCGTTCACACCTGATGGCAGAACCCTCGCAACCGCCCCGTATCGGCCTTCAACGACAATATATCTCTGGGATTGGACAGCTAGGATAGAGCTGCAACCACTGATGACACATGTCGAGGATGACGCAGGCAGACACTGGTCAGACTTGTCCATATATACCATCGCCTTCTCGCAGGATGGGAAAACAATCGCCGCCGCAGTCGGAAGAAAGATTCGCCTCTGGGATATAACAACCAGACGACTGAAGTACGTCCTAGACTATATCGAGGACGGAGACACGTTCCCTTACATTCTTTCTTTCTCACCGGACGGGTCAACGCTTGCGGCGGGCGATAGCAATCACCGGATACTTTTGTGGGATATTTCCAAACAGTCAGAAAGTTTCATCAGAATGTCAACGGCTACTGGCTACAAAGGCCCATGGGATGATGTGCGCCTTCTAGACGATTTGAAGACGATTTTATCAGTCAACATTTCCTTCATTGATAGCAATACTACCCTACAAGAATGGAACTTGGAGAACGGGAGAAAAAGAGTATTCGAGTCGAAGTTATTGCAGACATTGACTCGCCAAGATTTCTTTGCTTTCCCCCGAGGTCACGAGCGAGGACGCTTCAGATTTCATGTTCTTATGGAAAGGTATTTACCCAACATACTCTACATGTATGAAAACTTGAGTATGCCTGATCCGGGTCTGAAGGGAAAGAAACGTCCCGACCCGGAGGATGGAGGGAAGGCTAGGGATATAGGAACTCTTTCCATCTGTAATGCAGAACACGCTGTTGCACCCGCCGGGTTTGGCGCCCCTCCCGATCGGGTATAGCGCTACGTCAGACTCGCGTGCTCGCACGGCCCGGCTGCGCCTGCAACATAAATACGAGCCGATCCTCTCTGACGTCGCTTTGTTGTACTCTCGACTTCTTCCTTCATTCCTCTCCCTTAGCCTCCTGATAATGCGCTCATCGCCAATGCCTCTCTGATCGCTCATTTCGCCAAGGCGGCCGTGTTTCCCTACCTACCACCACCCTTTGCCTTCCCCTCTTTCCGGCCTCGGAGCCTCGCACATCGCCTCTCGTGCAGTACTTGCGCTGTTTGGCAGCTGTTTCCCCGGAGCCCTTCCCCTTACCGCTTGCATTCCGGCTCATTCTCACTACGGCTTTCACTCGACTCATTCTACAGTTCCAACTCGACTCTGAGCTTCATCTACACTAAGCGATCGAGATCCGTCTGCTCTCTGCCATCCAGGATGCCTCCCTTTGCCCGTGGCAGGCGACTTCGCGTCTGCCTGGTAGGTCCCCTGTAAGAGCGGTTTGCAATGCATGCTGACTCTGACCAGTCACAAAAATGCCGCAGATATCGACTGCGTCCGATACAGAGACACTGACCTGCAGATAGAGGCGTTCCCACTTCGCTAGTGAGAAGGCGCCTCCTGGATAATCTCGTATTCGGACCGAATGTCGGCGCAGCTACGGCAGATCCTGCAAGAGAAGTGGTCACAAGAACGGCATGTTTGCGTTCTGATTGACTGGGATCTGTTTCTGACTCACACGCCATGATTCAGCCTGCGGCGAACGGGGATAGAAAGGCCGAGCCGGCAACGAGCCCTTGACGACGCGGTCCGATGGGGACGATTCCGGAGAGAAAGAGGAGGGCGGTTCGGCTCGACTCTGGTCTCGACATCGAGCTTCCTCTCCCTTTGGAGCCACCCAACACCCACTTGGTTTCTCCCCTTCAGCGACATCTGATTTCATCCATCCCCCTCCACTCTGCCTTCCAAGGTGCCTCTTTCATCCGTAGGATCAGAATCCATGCTTGCCTGGTAGGTCCCCCCGTCCCCTCGTTCCGCCGTGCAATTTGCAAAACCTACGTATCCTGACCAGTCAGAAAAAAAGCTGCAGGTATCGATTTCAACACATGCGGAGACACCAAGGGCCTCCACTCGCTTCGCGGATCCAGAGCGTCTCGGTGTGCGGATCGCAGAACTCTTTTGGACACAACCGGACTGAATGCCAGCGCAGCTGTGGTGGGGAATGCAGGTAACCAGCCTGACCCGACTGCGACCTATTTCTGGGTTACATGCCGGCCGCAGCGAACAGGGATGGCAAGGCCGAGTTAAGGAGGCCGATGCGGCCGCCGAAACGATGATGTGGCCTTACTGGTGCCGCTGCCTTCGCCTCACCGATGGCGAGGCAGATTGGGTTTGAGAAGGAGCTGATTGGCGGGAACGAAAGCACGTGTAAGACTGCTTGGGGAGATTCTGCCTTGCCATGGGCAGTACCAGAAACCGGACGACATGAAGGAGGCGAATGCAGACGGACGCAGGAAGGCATTGCAGGAGACGATGCACCAACCCCCGCTTCGGCCGAGCGGCTCTCTGCAACCCCTAGCAGCATCATGAACCACGGGGCCTCAGGGCAAGGGCCGTGATTCGTGACGATACGATATCCTGCGACGCCTCCCTTTTCCTGGGCCTCTCTTTTCTGTCTCGGCAATTGCATGATTGGCAGAGTTGCGAGGGACCGGTGAATCAATATCTCGTCCCTCCCCGCACCAAACTGGGGAAGCGCATGGAACGAGTCGTTTCACGGCCGAGCAGGTTTCTCATTGCGAGCCGGGGTTGGGAGGCTGGTGAGGACGGAGAGGTAGCTGGAGGCAAGGCCCAGCTCCTTGCCAATTCAGCGATCGGGTCCGCCCTTCCTCGGCACACAGATATATTTCGCTCGTTCCCCGACACCCCAGGAATACCGAGGTGACCAGCTTGCACATCAAACACATCTAGGACCATTCTTCCCCAAACCTCTGACAGCTTCTGTAATTCACCAGCGCACATTAGCACTAGCAGCAAGATGGCAACAGTCTGCCTCGACAACCAGATTTTTTACAACCCCCCTGTGGCGGCACGCCCTGGCCCTGCAAGTGGAGGGCTTCTTGTTCAGAAGGGGGACCCTGCTCCTTTCCTTCCGCCGCCGCCACAACAGGATGCGCAAGATTCTCGACATGGTGGTGCAGGGAAGTCGCAGAACAATGCGATCCTGATCCCTGATAGCGAGTCTGATGACGATTTCGACAATGGCCGATCCGAAACGTCTTTCACGTCGCTTGACGAGCTCGTCGCGGCTGTACCCAGGATTCTTGAATCCAGCGGTGTCGCTAGTGCAGGTATATACCTAAATCTCCCGTCCCCGGGCAGGCTGAGTGGCGCTAACATGCCTACGCAGGTGAAAGTCGCGACACTGTTCCCGACGATAACGACGTATCAAAGCCTTGGGTCACTAGTGGGCTTGGCTCAAACGATGATTTTGCAGACGAGCAGCAACAGAGAGGTAGCCTAGGGCCTTCTCCAGAGACGTTGTCTGGCTCTCCCCAGCCGTCCGAAAAGCCATGTGGGACGACGTCGAATCATGACGGTTCCATATGTCTTCACAACGAAGAATGGGATAGGCGGTTCCGATTTTCATTCGCGGCGATCCGGCAGAGACGTGCCGCTCAATCGCAATCCATGTTGGACCCTCATGGTCAGCCTCAAAGTCCAAGCCTGGTTGCCTCGGGTCTTGGGTTTGAGTCACAGCAGCAATCCCATGGCCACTGCCTCTCTCAGCACTGTGATCGCTGCGGCGACAGCAGTCAGACGGGCAGCCTAGAGCACCATCATCTGTTTCCGGATGACAGAGAAGAGCGGGCACTCACACCCACACTGCCGGATGACAGAAGTAGCAGTGAGCTCGAACCAGCGGATACCGAGCCACGCCTTCGGCCCCAGAGCCTATGCGACGCCGCCTCCAGTCGTGGAGTTGATCCACAATGGGGGTCCGGCAGCTGCCGCCTCTCTCAACATCCTGATCACCATGACGACGGCGATCTAGTGAGTGACGGAGAACGCCATCCTCTTGTTCCGGACGACAGAGAGCAGGATGAGGATGGCGCTCCCGCCGTCCAAGACCGTCGAGCTGCGTCCAAGTCGACCAGTGAGAAGACAACGCAGCAGCAGAGCAACTTGGCTCTGGCGACAGAAGCTTCGCCGGTGAAGCCTGCAGGGATCCTCATCCCGGGCACTGGGGCGACGCGTCGGAAGCATGTGTCATTCGGCCGCGACGTGAAGCAAGGCTCTGGAACGACGAGGGCTAGTACCACCGAATTGCCCGACGTGGAGCAGGTCGACCCTCAGCAGAACACCGGTCGTTGTCGACGGCGGCGTCATTGCGATACTGCCGGCAAGGAGGATTGCTTTCCTAATGTGGAAAGTGACGCCAAGCAAGCCAAAGATGGGGATGTCATTCAGCCGCCACGAGGGAAGCGCCGCAAGGTAAACAGATCGCCCATGAGGCAGGCACGTCTTTGCAAAAACTCCCTATCGCTACAAGCTCAACAACCACCACCAACCCAACGTCCAAAGCGCCGCCAAAGCCAGCGCAGAATTTCCAAGCCGCAATCTTCAGGGGCGTCCGCTTTGGAAGAGGGGGCACTTGAAGCCGATATCGCAAGCTTTGAGGAATGGCCACTTGAAGCGGTCCTCAAGCGCGTTTGGGTGGGCGGGGCAGCGACGTTTCAGGTGGAGTTCATGTGGGATCCTTGTACGAATCATGGGCAACATGACCGTGTACTAGAAATCCCGCGGCGCAAGTCACCAGGAGGGAGGTATTCCTCGACGGCACGTGCCCTCTCTACAAGAGTTGCCTCCACGACTGAGAAGGTTCAAGGCGACGAGTATTACAACGTCGAGGAGATTTTGAAGTGGCGACAGGGAGAAAAGGGACTGGAGTACCTAGTCAAGTGGGCAGGGTATGGGAAGAAGCACAATTCTTGGGAACCCACTGCCCATTTCGAGGAATGTCCTAAAGTACTAGAGGAATTTCACCAGAAGGTGGGATTGTCCAAAGCTCCTTTGTAAATCCGAACCTAACTCTACGCGGGGCGCCTTATGGTGGTCGGTAGATGAAATAGAGCAGATATTCATGCGTGCTTCACGTGACGTTTACACATGAGGTTGGGCCGAATACGTGCTCTTAAGCGGGAGCGGAGCTGATAGATCAAACATAAAGGACCATGCAATTTATTGTCTATACTCTATCTCTCTACTTTAGCAACACCTCATCGACTTTCTATGCTACTATAAACTTGCCGTCTCACGTCTAAGGGAGCCTGGATCCATCTTACGACGGCTAGTGAGAGACCATCAGTTGAGTGGTTTACGACATGAAGGCGTCTTATTGGGTCGTGCGTAAAGAAGCACTGCTCAAAAAGCCCTTTGTTGACGACCTTTCGGACCGAACCTCATCACGTTATCAAGACAGTTTCAGTTGTCCCTTCAGAGGATTAGAAGCCCGACATTCGTCACACCAGAGCTTGGGGCCATGTGACGGCAGATAAGGTACGTACCGAGTGGCAGAAAAGGTACGTATTGAGTGGCAGAAAAGGTACGTACCAAATAGCAGACAAGGTACGTACCAATAGCAGAAAAGGTACGTACCAAGTGGCAGAAAAAGTACATGGGACCAAGAGCCCACAGCTGCAAAGGATAGTCTCTGCAGCGGGCCACAATCCGCTGGAAAGCAACTACGCCGTGAAATAGCAGCCAACCTTCGAAAACTGACCGATTTGGAGAAAAAGGTTTTTCTTGAGAGAGTGCTAGACCTTGATGCACGAGGATTTCAGCCCCGGCTCTCTGACATCCAAGAAATGGCCGATCATCTTCGCGCAGCACGCGACGCGTCACGCGTCGGACCCCAATGGGCGAACAACTTCGTGAACCGGCACCCCGAGCTTACAACACGTTTTCGACGCCGGATCGATTATCAGAGGACCCAATGTGAGAATCCCGACGTGGTAAATGCGTATTTTCACCCTGTGCGAAACGTGGTGGCCAAGTACGGGATCCAGGACGGGGACTTCTACAATTTCGACGAGACTGGGTTCCAGATGGGGATACTTTTGGGTGCAAAAGTTGTGACGAGCTCCAAACGCCGCGGTCGGCCTGGTACGAAGCAGCCTGGCAATCGGGAGTGAGGTTACGGTGATCCAGGCCGTGTGTGTGGATGGCTGGGTCGTGCCGCCGTACTTCGTTGTCAGGGGGAAAAACCACCTCCTCCCCTGGTATCAAGACAGCCGATTCCAGCCCGAATGGAGAGTCCACACCAGCGAAAATGGCTGGACTACGAACGAGATTGGTCTGTATTGGTTAAAGCATTTTGATCATTCTACCCGGCGTCGTACAAAAGGGATATACCGACTGCCTGTCCTCGACGGCCATGAAAGCCACCACTCGGTCGCCTTCGAGGATTTCTGCAAGGCCAACAACATTGTTACACTTTGCATGCCTCTTCATTCATCTCACTTCCTTCAGCCTCTCGATGTGGGATATTTCAGCCCGCTTAAGGCCTCGTATGGCAAGCAAATCGAGAAGATGATGCGGATGCAGATCACCCACATCACGAAGGAAGACTTCTTCGACGCATTTGTCGAGGCATTCCATGTCTCTATTACAGCGAACAACATACGGGCGGGCTTTAGAGCAGCTGGCATCGTCCCTTTCGACCCCGAATCTGTGGTTTTTCGCCTCGACCCCAAGCCAACCATCCCATCTCCTCCGAGCTCGCGTCCCGGAACAGCTACGTCTTGGGTGCCCAAGACACCCTCCAATGCGCAGGAAGCAATACTAAGCTCCAGCACACTCAAGCGGAAGATCGAAAACCATCAAGGTAGCTCCCCCAGTCACATTTTCGACATTATCGACTTGCAAGCGAAGAGCATCTCGATGTTAGCGCATGAGATGGTGTTGCTCCGAGCCGAGACCAAGCAGCTCCGTGCGGCAAATGAGCAGTTAAGCAAGCGCCGCACCCGATCTCAGACCATGGCGCCTGGCAGCCGCAGTCTTCCGGCTCAGAATCCCCTCTCTTCAGCCGTCTCTAGACCTTTTTTACATCCGCCAGCTCTACCGCCGGTGCGGGATACTAGTGATTCACGGTCTAGTGGTTCTAGACTGTTACAGAACGATCTGATAGAAATCTCCGGCGATGACGATTCTAACAACGACAGCCTCGATGACGGCCGGTCTGACAGAGAATTTATATCTCGCAGTGCTGCCGGGACAGGCACGAAATAGAAGAACCCCTTGGTTGATCTCAGCTTTCACCGCCATGTTCGCTAAGCTTCTGCAGGTAGAGAGGACCCTTGTCCCTAGTCCTTCATCGCAGATTTCTTGGTGACGGTGACAGAATGCACCCGCTGTCAGTTTATAAGGGGGACACCTGAAGAAGCCCTCAAGGACCCAAGGGCATCAGCGGATGGATAGCGCTGCAGATTCCGCGATTGGTTAAAGTGTTGTGTTTGGGTTTTGAAGGCTAACTTATTTGAGTTTCCAGTCCAGTAGTGTTTCCAGCGCTGATGTCAAAGCTGGGTCTCGGTTCGTTCCGAGTACGCAACAGTCTCTCATGAAATCTCATGACGTCGCCACATCTTGCTCCAGAGCCACTGACGTTCAAGACGAATAGAGCGCTCGAGCTGATTAGAAATTGAGAGCTAGAAGATTCTAGAATGCTGCTGAAAAGGTGCGAAGATACCTCAAACCAATCAAACAAAACAGGGAGAGGAACACTGTCATACATAGGTGTAAGACGAACGTGTCAGACGTGTTCGTCATAGGGCCACAGGCCACAACAACAACCAGAGGGTATTGACAAGATTACCCTTACGATATCCTTATGGGCCAAACGGATGGAAAGTAAGGTTTTCTGAGCTTTGCTCAGAGGGAAATGGGTGTTCAATTCAGTTCAGTGCGATTCAGTGCAATTCAATTCAGTTCAATGAGAAGGGAATGCTTGATTAAATCCTGTCCAGCGGGCCGGGGGGAAGTAACCACTACTTATATGCCCACCCAGGGCAACGCAACGCAACCGTAAGAAGGAAAAGAATGCAGTGGCCACTTTGAGCAGGGCATCCCAAAATTAGGGGTTTCATGAATCCCCGTTTCATTACAACAACTATAAATTAAAGGAACCCCCCAGACCCCTCCTCTGGCACGCTATGATAAGAAAAAGGAGAGAGAGAAACTGTGAGGAGAGAGCTCGGCACTAGCTGTCTGTCAGGAACGTCATAATCAGGACACGTCCCGAGTCGCAGCCAATGGCAATCGTAGATCCCGCTATGGCCCAACATGTCGACCGACATCCTGGAGGAAGCCACAGCCAGTTTTCCGAGTCCCTTGTAATCCATCTGCCGTCCGAGCTTATACTATATTGATAGGGGAGCTTTGCGTCACCTGACCAGGAGGCAAACAACTTCAAGGACGTGACATCATGCCAACCGCTATGCCCCTCAAGCGTCGTAGTGCATGTGCCCGTCGCTGCATCCCAGATCTTGACGGTGCTGTCG